TCTACCCAAGACAATGCTGGGTATTTAACACACCAAACAACTGGCACACCCACCTTCCCCCCCACATAGCCATATCAGCTATGAGCCCCTTACAAGCTGCCATCCAACCTGAAACAGGCTTTCTCAGCTTACGTTCTCACTCACTCATGTTCAATCCAAGCACCTGCACTCACCAATTGCTGTGGTTTACACAATGAAGTGTTTGTCAATAGTTTCTTTCACCTGAGTCTCTCGAATGCTGCACTAGTCACAGACATCAAGCCTACCAAGTCACCTGTGTCACTTAAATTCTTTGGTTCCAAACCAAAGAAAATGGTGCCATTAGGGGGTATCAAATATGGGAAATCCACCATCACAAACCAGTCAGTTTTCTAAAACATTTTTTTGCACAAATGGGTCCGAAAAGGGGTTAATTGGATAACCAACATGTTTAAAAAAGGGTGGATTTTTTCAAACCAGTCAATTAAATAATGGTGGATTTTGTTATAGGGGGTATCAAATATAGGAAATCCACCATCAGAAACCAGTCACTTTGCCAGAATTCTTTTTTGCATAAATTGGCCACAAAAGGGGTTAAATGGATAACCAAAATGTTTAAAAAAGGGTGGATTTTTTCAAACCAGTCAATTAAATAATGGTGGATTTGGTCATATTTGATACCCCCTATTTGATACCCCCTATCATGTTGGTTGGAGACCCACCCATCCATGAGAGGACATTTAAATCTTGTGGAATTTACATTGACCCCAATGGTTGGGATACATTATGGGCATGTTGAAAATCACCACTGTTTCCCAAGATGAATGGCCACCAAAACACCAAAAACATCCACTGCTATAAAATATAACCAGATACAGAAATCCCAAAAACCAAGCAGAAAAACAAGAGTAAAAGCCAGGGAATTAGAAAACAAGAAATATGTGACAAGATGTAAAATAAATATAAAATGACAAAAAAATGAAAAAGGCATACCATTACCATCCCTCCCCCTTGGAAATGGAACAGCCTTTTTGTGTGCTGCAAATTCTTGGAAAGGCTGTCCAGCATTTAAAGAAATGTGCACTCATCTGGAGGTCCTTAGTTAACCTTATTTGCCCGTCAAAAATTGATCTTGATATATTTTTACCCAAAAATAAGTCTGAATTCAAGTCCTAAAATAATTGAATTTTGCACAAAATCTATCTATGAATCATCTATCTCAGACTGATAATTCTGCCAAAAAGTCATATTTGGAAAAAAAGAACATTTCCTTTGCTTACAGTTGTGGATGGCATAATCTAACCCTGCAGTTTGAAGATGTCCATTTTTTGAGCTTAATAATTAAGTTTATTTTTAGGGGGTCAGAAAAACAACTCCCAAAAATTATTTTGGTGGAGGGGTTGTCGGACGGGAGTCGTTCTTCTAAGTTGATGGCCGAATTTGGGAGTCGGCCATCCAATTTCTTTTTTAATTTTTTAATTTTAATTTTTGATTTTTAGGGAGACGGCGTCCCAAACCACCCTCATGCTTGAGGGGGTTTGGGAGTTGCTTGCTCCCATGAAAAGAAGGATTTCCTTCCGGTCTATGAGAAAGAAAGTCCTCATTGACTTCCAATCAATGAGATTTATAACAACCTCATCGATTAGAAGGAATTCCTTCTGGTCAATGAGGTTGTTACCCTCATCGAACAGAAAGGATTCCTTCCGGTCAATGAGGTATAACATCCTCATGGACGGAAGGAATCCCTTCCGGATGATGAGGATGTTATACCTCATTGACTGGAAGGGATACCCTCCATTGAGATGTTATACCTCATTGACCTGATGGAATCCCTTCCGTCGATGAGGATGTTATACCTCATCAACCGGAAGGAATCCCTTCTGGCCAATGAGGTTTTTCTTTCTCATAGACCGGAAGGAAATCCTTCTGGTCATGGGAGCGAGCGACTCCCAAACCCCCTCAAGCATGAGGGGTGGTTTGGGGTGCTGACTCACTAGAAATCAAAAAAAAATCAAAAAAGAAATTGGATGGCCAACTCCCAAAGTCGGCCATCAATTTAGAAGAACAAATCCCGTTCGACGACCCCTTGGCCAAAATGGGAGTTGTTGGTGTAAGACTCAAAAGTGGTTGTGAAACCCTTTTGCTGAATGGAGAAGGGGATGATGGAGTTGCAAGCTCTGCCCTTCTATGCTATCAGAACAACAAGACCACCAAGCTTAGCTTGGCAGTTATATTTATCGTGATAGAGGATAGTTCAAGATGAAGCTTCCGAGTGATGTGTATAAGGGTCTGAAGTTGTTAATGAGTGATGATTATATTGATGGAGTTGTTGTTCAAAGCTTTAATACCAAGGCTTGGAGCTCTGGGAGCGCTATGCTTCAACCAGTAATGGTATGTGAGGCAAGTTATGGGCACTTGGCACTTGTTATGATGATGAAACTGTTATGGTTGTATTTCAATATAATGTATTGTTATGTCTGGCACTTGTATATAATCTTTAAGGGTGGTTGAGATGATCTGGTCCACTGGTGGGATGATGGAGGGAACAACTGGCAGGCAGAGGCCTCCTTATATAGACAAATGTGAGGGATTTTAGCCCCAGGGTACAGGCTTTTGAGGCATTTTAGCTGGCCTGAAGATCCAATGAGGTATTTTAGCTGGCCTAATACATGCAGGTGAGGGAATTTGGCTGGTGAGAGCACTGCCTTGAGGGAATTTAGCTAGCCTACAAGGTCCTACTACAAAGGAATGCATGTGCACCTACAAAGGAATTCAATATGCACTATGTGCCAATAAAGGAATTCAATACAACACAAAGGAATTCAATATTCAATATGAATACAGTATTCAAAACAAGCCATACTGAGCGTAAAGAATCCAAAAGATATCCTGTGACAGGGTGAAATCCGTGTAACTTCTAAACTATGAGAGATATGGGGTCAGTTGTAGTGAGTGACTAGGGGTTATTTTACCTGAGGATTCCATTTCTGATGTTATTTTTACCCTATCTTGAATGTATAAAGAGATAGTAAAAAAAATTATATTTTCTGCGTAGAAACCCAGTATTATTTACCACATTGGACAATTTTTGTGAGTCGTTTTTCCAACCCCCTATTTTTATTTTCAGCCTTTTGAGAATCACAGGGATTTGAAACAGAAGAATTGATAATTCTATTTCTTATCTAGATGAGCATTTTATATGCTATTGCAACTGGGGACTGATCTGTGGGAAAGAATTTAAAAAAACATGCATATTCATCTGGAAAGAGAGCAATAAAATAAGGAAAGAGAGGATAGTGGATTTCCAACAGTGTGCATTCTTCTATTTCAAATTTACATATTGGGCTATGATTTGAGTTGTGAAAGACAATCTAATTAATCCCCTTTTAAACCATGATACTAATTGAAATACTTTTGAACTTTGGAACTGAAATATAAAGTGGACACCATCAAATGAATACAAAAATATACAATAGAGAAATGGGAATAATGGATATCTAAAATCACCCAATTTATACAAATCATTATATGGACCAGAGCTCTCTCAATCAAGGAGGTGAGAATGCTGTATATTTCAGACTAGCAGTTGAATATAATCAATTCAATAGTAAGTAAAATTAGAAGAATTAGATAATTAAAAACTATGATAGATGGGAAGAATGTATGGAAACTTATCAATATACAACCAGAATTTGGGCATACCATCAAAAATTTATAAAGGTATACCAGGTAACCAGTTGGTCACCAGATTTATCCATGCCCTCAGGGTGTTTATGCTTGCCCTTATAAGAAGTGGATTTGCAGTAACATGACATATTGGGCTCATATTTTTCCTACACAATTTGGCAGAGTATATGGTTATAAGTGTATGTCTTTAGACAGTTTTCACTGCAGTCATCAACAATTGTGAGAAGGGGTATTTCCCAAAAAACATGATGGCTAAAGTGTTAAAAAGGTCAATGTTCAGAAGTTTTAATCTGGAAACCAAATTCGCTGAGATATAAAATCAGTCAGGTAAATGGGCTTGTAATAAGAAAAATGGATCTGCCTATGTAATTGGGGGGGGGGGGTTCCCTTTGGATATCATCCTATATTATCCAACACGTAAATCTTACCAAGCTTGCTCTTAGTTCCTTGTTGGCTAGTTTGGAGATGTGCTGATGTGAAAACAAGATTTCCAAGAATATGTTAGACCACCCAGGATGACTATGGCCTCTGAAGCCACATAGTGAAACTCAATTGGTCTTCTCATGAAGTCATTTGTTGAAAATTTCTGGTTAAAGAAATTGATTATTGTTGGCTCAAATTAACCCATATGTGATTTTCTTTGGTAGGGGACCTCACACAGAAATGTTGAGATTTTCTTACCGCGTTCCAAAACTGAAATGCAGGAAACATAACCTCAAAGGTGTGAGAGATATACCGCTAGACTGCCACAAAATTAATTCTGTCAATTTGCACCCAGGACTCCTGAGGGCTAATGGAGCGGTCATGTTCATTTATCACATGATGCAGCATCAGTCCATATTCTGTACAGCCATTAATACATTTAGAAATAAAAATACACCATCACAACAGCCTCACAATGAGGCTACTTTGATGGCTTTTTGGGACCTGGGTCAGCCTTGTAATGATGCCATCACAGGGCTGGATATGAAATCCCAATTCGCATCAGCAGTCCGTCGGTGGGATGTTAAGATTACACAAACTGCTCACGTGCTTTACTTCAGCCGGGAGCCTACGTCACACGTGCAGCTACTCCCTGCAATGGCACAGACAGTTCCAATTGGCAAAGATGTTTTCAGCTGCTGACGGGCGCTTGTGGATGAGAGGATACTTTGATTCTGTCTGGACTGCCCTATCGGCATTCAGTGTTGCATGGAGTGGTCTGATGACCGATGTGAAGGTTTGCTCGATGGGCACGACTCGCGATAATGGAACTCACCTGATTTTCGGCCACTGGGAAGCGTGATCTGTTGCCCTTGTGAGAATGCACATGTTCTCACTCTAGCAAGTAATAGCCGCGACTTGTAAACGTGGGCTTTGCCGTGCCCAGGTTTTCTCATTTGATGCGTGTTGAGCAATGAAAGTGGCATGAAATTGTACATGAAATATCCAGCGAAGAAAAACAAATAGCGCACGATGAACGCGAAAACGAGACACAACCAACGGAGAAAGAAAGTGATGTGGTAGGTATAGGACAAATCATGCAGGGATGATATTCCAGGGAACGACGCAGCAGATTGGAAGAACAATCTACTTCTTCTGCTGGAATTGGGAAAGAGATGGCACGACGTCGGGCATCAGTCTTTGCGCCAAGGGGGTGAAGTCCGATGGGATGAAGCTCTGAGAGGTCATTGAGAAAGAGCTGGAGCTGGCTCGGTGGAAGAACGATTGCATGGAAGTAGAGAGTCTCGACATGGCTGCAAGAAGCGGGGCTTGTCAGTGTGAACTGTGCCTGGTGTGGGAACAATGATGGAGCTTACGGTTGGAAAATTGGTCAAAGATGCTGCCGCCAAATTGACGTTCAACCTGGTTCATGAAGTGGGTGAACTGGGAGAATGAGCTGGAAGCAACGCTGCTGAATTGGCTCTGACCCTGGAACAAGAACAAAGGATGATGGGTCAGTTATTGTGAAGGGTAGGCCCGATAGAAGCGAAATCTGCTAACATTGACACACTCGCCGCAATAGGTGGCTTGCAACATGGCGGACTCGAAGTACTGGGTGATTTGCTGCACGACTTGGTAGATAGCTTGTTGGGTGATCTGGCCACTGATCAGGCGGGAGTTCATGTTCTCCAAGTAGCTGTTCAAGCTGCTGAAGGCGGAGTTGACAGTGGACATGCTGTAGCTTTGCTGGGACTGGGAGGACGAAAAGCTGTTGGCACTGCCGAAGTTGCTAGCACCACCTGCGTACATGCTGGGGTCGTAGTTGCCGATGCCGTACCCATTGGAGCCGATACCGTTGTAGCCGCTGGCAGTGTTATAAGCGCTGGCGCTGTTGTAAGCGCTGGCGCTGTTATAAGCGCTGGCGGCACCGTTGTAGCCGCCGGCACCGTAACCGCCGTTCAAGTAGTTCCCGTATCCTCCGAAGCCGGCAGCTCCGCCGCCGAGATAAGGGGATCCACCGTTGTAGTAAGAGCCCGACTTGTGGCTAGCATCTGAGTTGCTGCGGTCGGAGCTGTATGAACTACTACTGAATGGGGTGGACGAGGCACCGCGAGCGTGATCTTCGTTGGAATGAGCGCTGTCTTGAGAGTAACTGCCAGCGACGTAACGAGGGTTGTGCCTATGCAGCCACAAGAATGTCAGCGCCGCGGAAGGTGGGACGAGTGCGTGGACTGGAAAGTAGTACTCACTGGACAGGTGAAGCGATGGCAGCTGTGGAGAAAGACGTGGAGAAAAACACCAGCAGAAGGACAGAAGGGTGCGTTAGCGTCGAAAAGACTCCGAGGACAAAAGGCTAAGAACAAGAAATCGTGCACGTACAGGCAGCCAAGAGGCAAGCAACGTAAACGGCGGACAACATCGTGTTAGATTTGAAGTTTCGCTAGGTAAAATGAGAGGCTGGAGTAGGAGAACGAGAGAAAGTGTGAGCTGTGAAATGAGTGTTGGAAGATGTGGAAGTGGGATGTGGAGGGAAAGTAGATGGGAGGATGCTACTTTATATAGAATTAAGGCCTGCAGTGTAGGCCACACTCTGGATTCCTTAGACACGTCTCGCCATGCGTGATCCATGAAGCTGCCTCAAAGATCCGAAGATCAGCTGGGGCAACCCCGGCGACCAATTAGCATTGTGCTCTCTCAGATGGTAGGCTCAAAACGACCAGTCCGCAAGTTGCTGCCGCTGTCAATGGCGCTCTTCGAGTAATGTTGCTCCTCAAACGATGTCATGCGTGAGCAGCTTCCCTTTCAAGAGTTCCTCCAACACATTTGGATTTCTGTGTTCCCGCCTGCTATCCGCCAATTGACAAGCACTCATCGATGCAGCCGCTGTGAAGAGAGCTCTTGACAATTTGAAAGCATTTCGTCTTACCGTTTGGGTTCAAGTATTTAGTTTACCAGCCGGCCTCCCGACACCTTTTGGCAACTGTGAGGCTGCGTGTCTCCATGCAGGGTGGATTGTTTCCCGACCTCGCTTGACTTTGAGACGGTGGCAATTGACAAACTGGGTTCCGCCCGTTGCAAGTGGGGCCGGGGCCCGGAGGGGAGCTCGGGGCGGATGGGGTCTTCCTTCAGGGTGGTGGGGGTTTGTGGGTTTGGGGATGATATGCATTATGCCTACATGCATACAGCGACCCCAGCTTTGTCCATGCCCCCACTGGACCAAGCACAGCAAAAACCCATCATCAGACCACATCGAACAATGAAGGACTCAGAACCAGCCGCCCAAAGCAGTCACCCTTACACCTGTCTATCATGTGGACTAGCATTCACCACCGCACAAACCCAGCGAGCTCACTATACAACCGACTTGCACAGATACAACTCGAAACGCTCAGTAGCCGGTCTCAGTCCAGTCGACCTCAAGACCTTCAACCAGAAGTTTAATAGTAGCACACCTCAAGAAGGACAAGGACCAACTGCCAACACTCAGCAGAACCATCACTGTCAACCATGCGGGAAATCATTCAACACTCTAGCCGCACTGAACAACCATCTGGTCAGCAAGAAACATCAACAGACTGTCAATCAGCAGCAACCCAAAGAACCACACAACAATAGCAACAAACAACAACCCATCCAACCCGAGCATCCGATTACCCCCTCAAACTTGTCAGGCGAACAACTGGACAACCTCGATCTATCCGAGAAGATCGTATTAGATGCGATCCCAGCGGAACAGAAGAAGGCTGATTTGGAGCGGCTAATCGAGCTGCGGATCGAACAAGCACCGAAGATCGAGCCGAACGAGTGTCTCTTCTGTCCCCGCTCGAGCTCGGTTCGATTTGCCGACCCAGACCAGGCACTAGCACACATGTTACGTGCACACGGCTTCTTCCTGCCCGACCAGGAATACCTCGTCGATAGATCAGGCCTGCTCGCCTACCTCGCCGAAACCATCGCCGTCTGGAACGTCTGTCTCTACTGCGGTACTGGCTTTGGTGGTAAAATCATGGCTGACCATGCACCTCAAGACCACGCCACTCTGACCCGCAAAGGGCTCGAAAGCGTCCGTAAACATATGTGTGATAAGGTACGTTCCTTGCTAACCTCACACTCACAGTAGCCGCCCCTACATCGTGCTGAACCACTCTGTGACGGCTGTTTTTTTCCAGAATCATTGCAAGTTGGCTTGGGATACCGAGGATCAAAGGCTAGAGTACTCGGACTTCTTTGATTATCGAGCGTCGTACAAGAAGCTTAAACCAATCAAGAATAAAGCCAAGGCGAGCAGGATCTCGAGTATGGTTGAGGAGGATGAGTGGGAAGATATGTCGACATCGGATGTATCGATGGATGAAGAGGACGAGTTGCTTCCAGAGGACCGACAGGCAACACTAGGCGACTCGGCCTTCGAGTTGGTTCTGCCCAACGGGGTCCGGCTAGGCCATCGGTCATTGCGGTACATCTACAAGCAGAACCTGCTACCGTACGCGGTGGGCTCGCAGTCGACCCAGGCGGGGAACCGGAACATCAACCTGATCACCCGGCTCGCCGTGCTCTCATCTCCTGCCGGTACATCATCGGCGCTTAAGGACCATCCAGAGGTCTCGTCTGCCCTCGCTCACAGACTCGTCGGTCGACCTAACTCCAAACAGTCACTCGCTAGTCAGGCGCTCATCCCTAGTCGAGGCGCTGGAATTAACTTTAATTCTAGAGCATCCAAGAATAACCCACAGGACCTCGTCATCAAGGCTCGTAATGCAGGTGAAGCTAAGATGGCTGGACACCATATTAGGACCTTCAAGGACGTCCACAAACGTCAACTGTTCCAGACTAGAGTCGGTTGTACTAGCGGGAATAATCAAAAGCATTGTACGTCTCCCATCATCCTCATTTCACTTGTGCCGGAATGACTCTTTTTTTGATTGATCCTAATCCTTGGTTGTCTTCTTGCGTAGATCGGGATCCTTTGTTACAGTAATCTGTGCATCCGCTCAAGTTTCAATCAAGGTCGTCCAGAGAGCAGACTTGTAACAAGCTGGCACCGTTCTCCGATACATTCCTCAACTCTTTCTGTCCAGATACAAGAGCATATAGACTGCTAAACCTACCTTATCTCATATGTTACACTTTTCAATTAGACTGTCATTTATCTGTCTTTTTGTGTTAATATTTTTGCCATATGTTTTTGTTTTCTGGATATCATGGTTTCACATAACCAAGATAGTTGAATCAGCTGAATTCATAGCACTATCGGTCCACATTTTATCCCCTCATGTTCGGTGTATGTACGTACATCTTCAAATGCAACTGAAACAAAGGACAATATAAATCAGGAGTTCTCCTTTGAAGCTGTTGCTTGAGGTTTGTTCAGAAAGTGGACACTTCATTTCAATTGACAAGGACAACACTTTGAATTTTTGTCCCTCATTAAAGTTACTTTGTGACATCTTTGAGACGACTATATTGAAGAGCTGATCATCAATCTTCTACCTTTGATTGAAAGACAACAGATTATTGTATTCGAAACCATGAGGCTGTTCCTGTCATAGTAGTTCCCCGCCTTGAAAACTTGTGTCGTCAGAACTAATGGACCCATAAATGGAGCGTTATCTAAATGTGTCACTTTATATAGGGGGAAGATCTAACTCACATTTTCTGGTGAAAATTGATTGAGACTGAGTTTCCATCAGCCCCTAAGGTTTGAGACCCCTCAATTGGAAGTCCTCCAGTGGGCTGGGAGTCAGTGCCGAAACAAGACCACAATAAATCAAGCTTTACGCCATTGCAATGCTACTCTCTTATTTAGGTCTATGTAAATATTTATGTACGCACCTACATATCCATAGTTCCTGGATATTGTTATCACTCGCTCATTCCAACCTCTTCTTTGTGATGGTGCTTCAAGGAGATAGTCAACTGATATGAGCCCCCCTTCTGCGCTCTTCTCAGGTCATGACCATCCATGCTTCATTCCGATCCCGTTTTTATCGGCAAATGTCGCAGATTCCGGCAGGAACAATGTACAACCCAAGCTGCACCTTTTTCCCAGCTCGGGCTTAGAAGTATGTTGGATCCATGCCGCGACAAGTTTAGAGACTCCGAGGTTCATCTTGACAGGACCTCTGCTTCCCGTTGCCTATACCGAATTGAATGTGGTAGATATCCCTTAAATTTCCCCTATGATGGTGACAGTGTGACCAATTTCGATAGCTTGCTACCATCAATGAAAACGATAGCAATAGCATCGCTGAAAAATTTCCATGCATCAGCTTGGAAAATGATTTCTTTTGGCATTCCTTACTTTTTTGCCTATCTTGGACTGCACACAGTGTGTTGCACTATAGAGCACTCGCCCTATGGCCCAATTGACCCGATCGCCCTGTTCGCTAGCTTGTCAAATGATCCTCCAAGCTTGAACTACCTCTTTCACTCCACACCTACCCCCCAAGTCCAACCTTCCAATCTGCCGAATGTTGCTACGTCTCCGGTTACATCTCGGCCTGAAAATGTGGAAAATCAGCCATCACGCTCCAGACTTGGAGAGTACTTGGATGCTATCCCAGGTTCCATAAATACTGCGCCACCCGGGCACCCGGTCCCGCCAAATGGTTTAACAGATTTTAGGACTGATTTCGATAGGCACACTCGTGGAACACATGTGGAGGCCCATCAAGCACCCGTTTCAAATAATCGTCAAATGAAAGAGGTGGCTCATACAGAGCTACCAAGAATTATTCCATACCAACAAGCTCCATCCATCGATTCCCATCTCCATGATCCATCAGCCAAAAGGCCCAAGTTCAATCGGCCTTCTCCTGGCGCTCTTCATAGACCAGGTCGAGTGCTTGTAGAAACGTCATCCGATTACCTCCCAATTCAATCCGGAGTAAATATTCCATTGGAAGAAAACTTGGGGCTCCGTTCCGATGCGGACACACTTGGAGGGGATACGTTTGGAGGAGCCTCCACTAGTCACACTCGAGTAAACGAATATCAGAACGGCAATTTGCCAGAGATGTCAATGGTCCCCGACAGCGGGACAATGCCTCAGATGGCGCAGAAGGCCGAAATTGAAAGCAGTGTGGAGTCTGTGGCCGTGTTTAATTATCAAAACCATTTGCCTTTCAGCATTTGGGCGAACCAAGTCGGAATTCTCCGGTTTGATCGAGAAGCCTTTCATCGTCAATATGTATCACCGCAACATCAGTCCAACGCAGACTCAATCATCTCGTTGATCGAGTCACTCCCACACAAAAGCCTACTAATTTCTAACAGCACGCCCAATGATGCACATGAAACTTTCTGTAAGCTATCTCGTTCAGCCTCAGGGGGTGGGATCTTTCAACTGATTTATGGCGCAAAGCTGGGAAGAGATCGAGCACAACACTTATTGAAAATAACTGGGCGGAAAAAAATGATGGAGCATTCTTGGGACGTGCTGCGCTTGAATAAAAATGCCTGGTTCAAATTCTGGGGAGAAAGGACAGGGATCAAGTTTGCAGACATTGAAAGGAAAATGTTGCCAAAATCACACAGCCATTTCTTTTTGTTTATATTCTACATCGATATGCTGGGGACTATTATTCAAAACAACAGAGGAGTTGAATCCTATGAAACACAAGACAACAGTTCAAGTTTGATCAAATTAGCAGTAGAGCAATTCCAGCGAGACCACAGAATGTCATTTTTAAGGCCTGGGACTCGGAGGCGAAGGATCCTGATCTCTTTCACAACTTCAAGTCAAAAGAGAAAAAAATATCGAACTCAAAGTGAGAGAATGTGCAACTCCAAACAAGTTTGGGATTCAATCCAGAAATTGATAGATGGTCTTGATGATCAATACTTACACTCAATCCTTCATAAGAAGGGCAAGTTTTCTGTAACAGGTAAAACCTTCTTCAATGATATCTTTTGTTACTCTATCTCAAACTTGAGCCAGAGACTAGTCAATCATTATAGGATAAAAGAGCAATTGTCAAAAAGATAACTCATTGCTGTTTTTTTTAGCTTCTTTCAAATTGCATGTTTGTTGAATTTGTTTTTCGGGAGACATGTGAAAGAATATAAGCCCATTTAAGATCTTGTGTTATTAGAATCTTGGTACCAGAAATGACTATATGATGCTACACCACATATTTTGTGGGACGTAAAATTCCATGCAAATTCTGCAGAATAATGCCAGAATATATACAAATTCTTCAATTTCAACCTCACAATACTCACATGGTAGATGATCAAGATGGTTCAGCTTGTGAGTTTTCCAACAAGAAAAATAAATTCTTTTACTCAACTTCTAGAGATTGTTTGTTTGGACCTGGGTACCTGTTCATTTTTTCAAGAAAATAGATACCATGTTCCGCACCAGACACCTCCCGGGGGGTACCAGCGGTACCTGTTGCAGGTACCGTAGGTACCTTCCCTCTCTTTTTCACCTAGTTTCACTCCCAGAGTCCCAAGTCACTTTATTATTATTTTTTTCCATATATATTGTAAAATATCACTCACATATCAATTTTTTGGCATTTTTTCATATCTGTTGTAATATATCTAAATCTAAGTGGAAGAATCTTACTTTTCTATTTATTTTTTTGTCATATTTATTGTAAAACATCAGTCCCAAGTCACTTTTTTCATTTGTTCATATTTGATAATTTATTGTAAAGTTTAAACTATCTACAACTTAGAACTAATTGGAATAATCTTCATTGTTGTCCAAAACTATCACCTTCCTTTTTGATTTTTGGTTAGACTTCTTGTTATCCTTGACTCCCTGTTTCCATGCAGCCAAGGTACCTTCTTGGAGTGTTCCTTGTTTATAAATTAGTTGAAACTTGAACACACATTTGTTCAGGCAAGCTCTTTTGATTTTGGCTGCATATCTCATGTTGATTGTATTTTCACTGATCACCTTCACAGTTTTTGGCCACTCCCTGGCTTACTTGCAAGTCTTTGATTTTGCAGGTTTTTGATTAGTTTTGTTGAACATTCCACATATCAGAAGAGTCTTGGTTTCTCTTAAACCTGCAGTTCCAACGTGCTACTTGTTGTTAATTATTGGTGGTGTTGTATTCAATACATGTTTGCAGCAGTGCTTCATTGTGGAGCTGTGTGGGTTGTGTGTGGTGGTGGTGGTGGTGGTTGGGTGATGATGTCATACTTCTGCAGGTGTATGTATGCGCTCTGGTTAACAGCAAGGATGTTGAGTGTGTACTCTCTCCCCCTCCCCTTGGATATCTGCGCTCGACTTGTACCACTTCAACTCTTCCGATGGCAGATACCGATGTAATTCGCTCCTCAATAATCTCTTCTCTCTTCTCGCCTCACTCAAAGGGTAGTGCTGGACAAAGTCAGTCTCATCTCGAACAGTCTGGAGTCAGAAACAGTGGAAACTGACCATCGCCTTCTCCTGACCATTCCATCCAGCCGGTCAGACGTATATCTCTCATTGTAAGACTTGGGAGGACGTTTCAACTACCGGTGAACGCAAGCCGAGGTATATCTTATTGGCTGGTTTGTGATCCATCTCTTCTGTTCACGTTTTTTTCTTCTTCTTTGCTTTGAATCATTCTGACGTCACTTTGTCTGCTTAGTTGGTACCACCGCTCGCGTTTTCCTTCACAAATCAAAACGCAATACCAATGGATCATTTTCGATCGGAAAAACTTGGGACATCATCGATCTTCGAACCGTCGAGTTACTTGATGTTAGTCCGGCTATTCTGCCGATCTCACCCCATCCACTACTCTTTTTATCTAATGGTGAACTGATGAATGTGTCACTAATCATATAGGAATCTGCGTTCCGCTTGATTATCGGCCAGAGGTCGTATACATGGCTTGCCGAGAATGGTAATGAGCGTAACAAATTTGTCGATGTGCTTATCAGATCATTCAGACAATACTCCCAGGGTGAATTGCCTCAGCTGATTGGGCTTCCAAATGGTGACTACTGTTAGTATTTTTTTGTCTCAACCAGATCTAACTAGGGACGTTTCTTCGGTCGACACTTTCTTATCCGCGAATCTACTGATTCACGCCCCATCTTTTCATTTCAGCCACATCAGCCTATTCGAATCCTATACCCTCGTCTCCTGTTACCTCGGCACCGTTATCCAACTCTAATGGATCCCGAGGCCGATCAGTCAATCCGCTCACTTCCCCCAACCCGTCTTCAACAAGCCTCCGCCCGTCAACTGCCCCTCAAGGATCATATCGATCAAACTCACCTTCTTCTACTCCTCGTGGTGCCCCGTCCTATGGCACCCCAGCCCCTTCGGTCGCCACAAACTTCACCAATACGAGTAGCCCGGCTCCCATTTCTACTAGTGAATCATCACGTCGAGCACATGCTCCTCAGCTCTCCTCCGGATTTGAATCGCCCATGCCAAGTCCCAAGCTTTCTGTAACGCAATCCCGGACCTCGGGCGAAGAAGAGACCCGCATCGGTGGCTCACCTAACTCGAAGGTCACCCGTCCGAAAATCTCGATAGCTGGCCTGACATTGAACCATCGCTCCCACTCTCGCACCACACCCCCAGTCCCAGATAGTCCTGCTTTCAACCGAATAATCAGTTCGCCTTTAAGACCTAATCAGGACCGGTATGCAACCAAAGAACAACGGCCGTCAACTGCTGAAACGCTGGACCCCGCTCGACAATCCGTTGGTGATGGTGAACAAGATCTTACATCATCAGTAGCTGTATCGAAACCAGCACGGCCGCCACCCGCCAAAAGTGCTTTTCGATCTCGGGACTCGCTTACAGCCGAAAAATCTCTTACACCTCCCGGAACGTCTGAGAAAATAAAGATTGTGAAACAGCCAGAGGAAACGGATTTTGATATACCTGATGTACTGTCTAATGTGGAAGAGATTCTAGAGGGATTCCAATGGCGTGCAATCTCTTCAAATGGTCCTGCCGAGTCTGTCAACCAGATCGAGGATCAGCTTATGACAGAATTGAAAGCCCTAGAACTAGCCGAAATTCATGCTATTATTGAAAATGACGATCGGGTTGGAACGATTGTTACACATCTTGACGAGAGCTTGGCTGAGTTGGACAAGATGGAGGCGTTGTTGAGTCTTTATCGTACCCAACTAAATGTGAGTTGTCTGTGATTAGCTAGCCTATTATATGTACTGAGCACAAGTTTCTTCATTGTTCCCGATCCTATTGCGTAACAAACCGAAGATGGTTGACGAGGATATCGTACACATCGAAAGTCAAAACCGAGGTTTGCAAGTGCAAATATCGAACCAACGAGTTCTGTTAGAAGAGATTGAAGACATAATGGTCCGCACACATTCTTCAGCTGATATGTCGCCTAAATAACTTACCAATGTTATCGTCTTTTATTAGCAAACAATTCGCATCCCTGATACTGCACTTGATGCACTTACACAAGAACCTCTCGATAGCCAAAAAGGAATCGACCAGCTTGAGAAGGCCGCAACCAGTCTTTACAAGGCGATTTTGTCTGTCAAAGACATGAACAACATCACGGCTGTGGCTGCCGCTTCGGATGATAAGGTAGAGCAATACAAAAGAAATGCACAGCAGTTCTGCAAGCGTGTTTATGAATTCCTCATCGTGATGTTCAAATATCAAGTCAGTTTTGTTCTTTGCAACCTCTTCTCACTCAAACATCAAATATATATATATATTGGTATTCTCTTCTCATAAATTGACGCCATTGATTTGCGATAACATCAGGCCGGATTGATCTTAAATGATAAAAACAATATCAAGTCAAGAAATGAGTTGAAGTTGCCCTCACATTCATCCATGGAGAAATATCTAGAGCGGTATTGCGGCTTGACACTATTCACCAAGGAGATTGATGCGGTCAGATACCAACAACTATGCGCAGTTGAGCAGGCTATTTCCCCGTGGTTCACCCCCTTACAGCTTTGCACAGTTTGAGACACTAACAACTACATGATAGTCTTATTTTACTACTGCCAGTGAGCTGCACAAAACAGAAATACTGGAAATAATGTCTATGTTTCGTAACAAAGTTCGGAAACCCAACGAAGAGGAACTAGAAGCTAGTAAGTGCTGAGAACATCGATGAAGAAAACCACGCTTTAATTGTATATAAACCCTAGTTTGCGTCCTTCAGCTTTCGCAGCCCAGCTTTCTCCAACGACGGCTAAAATGATGGTCCCTCGAAATCCGCTCTCAAAGTTTGAAAAGCGAGATAAAAAAGAAGCCAACAGCTCAACAGATGTTTTGACGGCTGGCGAAGCGTTACGACAGTTTTTGACCCAGCTCATCCCACACGTTCAGCGAGAGCAAAATTTTGTCATCGATTTCTTGCATGTTCATTCCGGATTGGAAGATGGGGATGGTCTGATCACTTACGCTGGCTATTCTGGATTGGAAGGCTATTTCAAGCGCGCGGCAGTCAACCTTCAGCAGACGGCGATGCTCAATAGTAAACTCAATGATATCTTAAGCGTAATGGACCTGATCTTTGGATTCCTACCCGGCGAGATGAAGGAGTGGGTTGAAGCAATGGTTGCCGCGGATCCCATGTGAGCCTATATGACTTCATTTTTTGTTGTTCATTTTTTCATATATTTTTTCTGGCGCAAACTAACCAACTGTTCTCATCTTGCAGGCAGATTATCAGTGTGATGATGGCGCTAGATTTGGTTATTGGATCAGATATCCTAGTGCGGAGTGAATTTCTCAACAAGATTTTGGAAGCTCAGCAAAAAAGGTCCTTGAATATTTTCGAACTCAACATCAAAGAACAATTGAAAGCAATTGAGACGACCAGGCTGACTGTCAAGAAAAGGAAGGGGGTCGTATCCTTCATATCTACGTTTCCCGATTTTGTCTTGAGAGTGGAACGTCAGATGGAATTCGGAGAAACGGCTGATTGTCCGACACGGAAGCTAGTCAACCAACTCTATGAACAGATCAGTCAGTCTATGTTTGAGGCTCTGCAAACAATGGCCAAGAGCGAGGGGGATCCTGTAGCAAATTCTGGGGGCGGTAGTCAAGAAGACCGCGACAAAGATCGACTGAACTACCATACACTTATCATAGGTAAAGTGACTTGATTTTGAACTTGTTTCATATTTTTACTTTCCTAAGATTCCTTTGTTTTGCCACTTTTAGAAAATATGCATCACTTCGTGACGACTGTGTCCAAGATTAACGCACCAGCCTTAAAAGCTTCTTTGGAGAAAGCCAAGGAGCAGTATGATCATAACTTGGCTTTATACATCCGGCTGGTACTTCGACGACCACTGGCTCGATTTATTGTTAGTACTTCGATCTCTTCTCGGCCGAAATCTAAGAGGAGTCCGACCCTGCCCGATTTACTGATAACAATGTACTTGGAATAATCAGGATTATTTCCAGGGGATCGATGAACTGTTACGAACAACCGAACCTACTCAAATTCCGCAACACAGTCAATACACAAGAGCGTCATTAAAACGAGTGATCTCGACCCAAGATAAGAAGGACATAAAAAAATCGATCGAAACACTAAGTAAACGAGTCGACAAACACTTCTCAGATGTAGCTAATCCATCTGCTGAGAATTCGGTGGTCATGGAGACCGTCTGGAGCGCCTGTGAGAAGGAATTGATCAGATTGATTGGCGATTGGCAAGCCCTCTTGGAGAAATGTTATGCTAACCCCCAGACTGAAAGCGGGACTTCTGGTAGCAATGATAAAGGTGGAATCCCCAAGTTTGAGTTCGGAATCGATGATGTCAAACTCGCTTTTCAAAAATACCGACCCGGAAGTTGATTGTTGATCGTCATTCGACTCACTTCGAACCGGCATGAATAGTAATAATGATCCAAATCAACAAGCAGTTTCCTCTCAGCCTGTTTCCCTCTCCTTACGTATCTTCCGATAGCACCCCCCCCCCTCCCAAATTTTTCCCACATGATCTTTGGTTTCAAGGAGAAAAAGTGTAATTCTTATCATGTCTCTTTTAGCCATTTTTTTGTTTGAGAGAGTAATTTGAGTGAAATGGAAGTAGATATGTAAATCAAAATCTATCAGCAAAGCTATGGCTTTCTCTAGTTGGAGTAACAGTATAAATGCAATCTGTAGAAACATCATTTTCTTGTGGTTTCGTTTTTGGCAGGCTTCTAGTCATACTTGGTACTGCACATGGAAGGTAAGATCCCCCTCTTGCCGGCTCTGGTGATCGAATTTTTTGATGGGGTGATACTTGAAGGCAGTGAAACTTTTCCACTATGTACCCGCACTCTTTGTCGACACTGATTTAACCAATCGCATGTTATCTGCGGCGGCGGTACTCTGCACAGTTCAACCTTATCACAATGCCCAGGTTCGGAGTGATCAATGGAGAGAGGTGGAAAATTTGTCCCCGTTCTTCAAGCTGGATACGATTCACGAAGTTTGATCTTGTCATCTCTCCGCTCTCATCAGGTACTCTCATCTATGCTATTTGTGTACTGTTGTTGGTCTGCAAGCTCATGTGTCAATAAGTCACCCGGTTGGCTTGCTCAACTCGGGCTCAATCTAAGCGAAAGCATCAGCCATCGTGCCCTTGCGGATCAGAAGAAGAATTTTACATCTATGGACCGTCGTCGAGTCTGAAGTCTTTGAGTGAGAGAGTGTGTGTGTGCTGTTTATGTAGCTAGCTGCTTGTTTGGAATCCATTGGAAGTTCTCCTCCTTACATAGGACTGGCCGGTCAAAACATTTTATTCACCAATTCGTCTCACGACTCAGGCATTTCCATGCCCGGACAGATGCCACGACCACCTCCAGTCCATGTATTCAATCCAAATATTATAGCAAACTCAGTCATCAGATAACCCGCTAAAACTTAACCAAGCCCATCCAATTGGAGGGGGCCTCCGAACTGTTTTCTCTTTATGTGTAGTTTCAAAATCCGCAAAAAATCATCTCCTGTCCGTTTGTTGGAGGCTCGGGTGCCTTCCGGTGCTTCTGGCCAGCCTATCCTACGGCGCATTGCCAAGTCGCGTTGACAAGGAGACCATGTTGGTACCCCTATATACCCTACGGCACATTGCCAACCCGCGTTTAAGAGCGCGTTGCCATCCGGCAGCTGGGGCTGTCCCACGTTATCCTACGCCACATTCTACGCGCAACTGGTATTCGGTCCACGCCCTCAATGCAGCGGCTGTGGGGGACTGTGGGGGACACTGCCTGGAAGTGTATTCATTGCCAGGGCTTTGTAACCTCCATGGAGGGTATGTTGCAGAAGTTGGAAACGCAACAGTACCAGAGGGGGAGCTTGGTTGAACGCTTGAAGGATGTGGCCTTAAGAGGGTGTGGGGCACGGGCACTGGGTGTTCATCCGTAAACCGAAAGTCACCTCTCCTCCGCCCCACGCCCCCGAACCGCACAACATTCGACCCTTAACCAGCATTGAGATCCTATTATCCAGCCACAGATATTCCCATTTTTTTTAAAAAAAATACCGATTCGATATGCAGTTCTCTAAGATATTCCCAATCTTCATGGCACTCCTTCTCCCTCACGTCCAAGCCTGGGGATGCAAGGACAATCCCACAGTTGCAGGCTTCCCATGGTCAGCCTGTCTCAAAAGTACTCATGATTACCAAAGCGTCGACTGTAAGTCTCTGCCATTGGCGCTGTAACGGTCTGCTGGAAAAGATTTGGCCTTTCATTGACTCGCCATCGCTGCCGTAGTAATCGATGCCCCTTGGCGTGGGGCCGGAGGCTATGACTGCACAATGGACGACAAGGGTCATACGATCCCCACGTGTTGCTCTAAGCATGAGGTTTGTCCAATACTCCACGATTCACTTCCAACCACCCCCAGCATATATACTAATTATGGTTTGATTGTAGGAGGACATGCCCAAAATATTATCCAAGGAAACCCTCTTGCAGGACTGCAAGCATCTTGATGGCAGCCCGTTCGAATGGCCCCCCAGACAACATAATTGGTAATTGGTGACAAACCCACTAAATAAAGCATTTTTTCACTTCGCCAGAGTATTATCTTTCATCAAACTAGCAAAGGCCCAGGTATTAACCAGTGTTCATTATGCTTTCACCATCCATACCAACGAGCATTCTCAAATTATCATGATGTCTTGCCCAGTAAGGCTAAAAACATTCTTCATAGCAATAATAGCATTAACTACTCATGTAACATTTATGCCTCCTCTCTTTGTATCCATGTGAACATTCTTATTCTCATGAAACACATTTCCATTTTCTTGATAGAAATCTAGATCCTCTTGATGTCTGATCACTATTTAGAAATAATTGGAATTTCAGAGCAGAAGAACAATTCAGAACAGAAGAAGAATTCAAGGGACACCAGAGGAGACCAGCCGTTTAAGCTGAACTAAAGCATCTCTGAAGTAAGACGATGAGGATCTGCTATGACGACGAGGTCGATCTCAATCGTAGCGTGGTCGCAGTTTGTTGAGGCCAGGAATAAACCAAGGGAAGCCTGGTATCCTCGACTATACTCAAAGAAATACCCCATGAAAAGTGTTATGGTTTTTTGAAACAAAAAAACTTGTTCACATGTTCCATGAAACCAGTCCATCAGTTTAGGTTGCTGATTGTCGAGCGGCGAGCCTCCCAAGGGAGCATCAACTTGGTTGGTCTTCTCATGCAACCTGACTCAAAAACTGAGCGCCGTAGTGCGAATTGAGTCAGCTTCATGAGTGGGAGTTAAAGTCGTGTCAACACGGCTTGCGTGCACTTTTTCAAGCTGCTCACTGATGCTCAAGGTTGTACTTTAAACTTGAAAAATATCGATGAAGGTCGTAGTCGCATGATGGGCGAGAATACGTACAAGATGGCAGCTTGCAAAATCGCGTGTAGAGGAGTCACGGTATGTAGCTGCCGGCTTCCTAACTTCCTAGCGGCGAACCCGTCAGCTGTCATCGGAGTGCCGCTCGGGGACCCATATTAACGGGTGCCGGTCTTGAGAGTGGCTACATACGCTAAGCCTAGGTCTTTCCTGTGGAAGGCGGAATACCTCGACAAAAAGCCAGAAAATCTGCCCAAAGAAGGGAAAACTCGGCGAAGAAAGTACTGTTGTAGTGAGTGTGCAAACGGAGGGTTCCTGTGGGACGGCGTCCCCCCTCCACTTGGAGGGACTTGGTTAAGTGAGGTACATACACCCCCGGGAGTATTTCTTGATAAGAACAATCTAAGGAGAAAAGGTGTTCCAATTTTCATATCAATATTTTCCTCGTCTTGTCCTGTGAGACTGCGTAAGATTCCTGAACTGTGTAGACTAGCAGACGAATGAAGCAGCAGCTGAGTTTTTTAGCGGAGATCTTGAATGTGCGCTTCGTTTTGACATTGTAATGAAATGCTTGATCGCACATATTTATGGCGATGACTGAATTTTGAACTGAGTCACGAGAGTGTAAGTTGTTCCACCATCAAATCTTTCTCCCAGTCCCATGCCGATTCGCGTTCAAGAGCGGCCAGAGGATGTCTTCCGACCGACGATGTTAGGGAAACCGAAACCAAACTATCCTTAATTAATCGCGGCTGAGCTGGACCAAGTGGATGAGAAGAATGGATCGAGTTGAGCCTCAGCACTGGCTCCTTGCGCTGCCTTGGCTGATCTTTTCATCATTGGGCTCACTGGCATCTTCTCCCTGACTCCATCTTTCCATCCCCTCCGGCCTCTGATCAGCTTGGGACTGCTTTTGTTCCCTGCGAAGATCAAATACTTTCATTCCCAAAGCTAGCACATCGCTGGCCCATTCCCATTCCTCTCTTTCCATCCTTCCTTTTCCGTAGTACCATCTCTTTCCTTCAGTACAACTGCACCAGCACTCCAGTCAAAGCTTGCCCTACACATTTATCTATTTACAACTTCCCCTGAAAAATCACCACTCAGCCTCACCAGCCTGCACACCAAACAATCTAAATTCTCTCCGGACTCACCAACAGCCAGCAGCACATCAGCTCGAGTTGATTACATAAATCTTTACTCTCCTTCCTTTCTTTTTGTAGAACAGCCTATAACTCACTCACAAATACATACCCTCACCCTGCCGCTAGGGGGCACACGTTGGGAAGCTGTCCACCATCATTATTAAACCGCAAACATTCGAATTTCGTTTTGTTCCTTCATCCTCCATCGGAAGGGAAAAAAAGGAATAAAACATCAAACATCAAAACAACTCAAAACAATCATTAACCAGCCAATCAAAGCTAGAATCCTCTCACTTCAAGATATCTCAACCTGGCCATCATCGCCTTTGCTCTTTGTTTCTTGGCCGACTGGAAATCTTGTAAGTCTCCTTGTTCTCCAAGGTAACAACCCTCTCAATCTCTCAGCACCAGAACACGCACTAAATCCTCCTGCAACTCTCTCGCGCCCTTGGCCGTCTCAAATCGTCAATCATCCCAACATCTCACACCTCTTGATGTCCTCCTTCTTCAAGCCGACTGACGGCCATCATATTTATAAATACATACAAACCCCCGAGGGGCCAACACATCGGCACAACTCGTCAGCCAACTTGATTCTTTAGTCCATATTGCAGTCTCCAATTTTTTAATTGAGCTATTTTTGTAAGTAAGTAATACCTCAATTCATGTAATATTTCCCAGCAGCAAAAAACATTATTTCCCAATCCATGAGTTCCCTTTGATTCGTCACCATTTCCTCACACTCCCCAGTCCGTTTTCTCGAACATCTAATATCCGATATCTTTTTTTTCTTCTTCTTCTGATAATCCTCATTTGCTTACATATAACTCATATCTCTTCTTCCCCTTGACACTCATTACTCATTGATACATTCTTTCACCTTTTCCCTTATCTTCACGCGTTTTTTTTTTCTTCCTTTTTTCCTTACAGGCACATCCTCTTCCTCCTCGCCCTCTTACGTCGTTGTTTGCCTGCGATTGGTTCAACGCACACTGGCTCATTCGAGTTTTATTATTATTGTTCTCTTCGTCTTCGCTGGCTTCATTGCTTCAATACTTGATCTTCAAATCATTTCACTCGTACAATGGGCAGCAACCTCAGGCCTGAAGAGCATTCGACCTCCTTTTACCCTATTCCTCCTCCCAGATCAAATTTCCACTCCGACGTCATTCATAGCATGACAGGCGTATCTCGGTTCCGAAGATTTACTCGCTCCCACCGCAAGCATCATCATCATCAAGAAAATATTGAGACTGATTCTCCTTCACCTACTACGCCGCAGACTGAATTGATATCCAGCCAATCGTCGTCAGTAGCATTCCCTTCTCGGCAGTTTCCAGCATACATTGACTGTTAATTAATCATTCCTCATTGCGTCTCCACTTGAATTAATTTAGTAGTTTGGAATCAAGAGACATCTTTCATCACACAACTCCAGTCAAACTCGATTCTGCTGCTGGTGCCACAGGTACATCCGTTGCTCAACTACCCGGCCGACACTTGATTGTACCACCCTGGCTAGCCATTGTCGTATGGCTGGCTATTTTGTTTTTCGTAGGAGTATGTATATTACCATTGCGCCACCTCCATTTTTTGAAATCCAAGAGATTTGAGCAATTCGTCTGACTCCCTTCGCTACTTCCAGTTGACAGTTGCTGGATTTAGTTTGAGCTACCAAGCTCGGAAAGAGTTCCGGATGCGAGTCGAAGAACAGCGCAAGGCCCAAGAGGAAGCCGAGCAGCAAACATCAGAATGCAAGATTCCGATAACTCGCAAAGAATTCAAATCATTCACCAGAAAATCTATCATGGTCCTGAACTCCAATTCCCCTCGAGGCCATCATCCTCAAACCAACTCGGTCTATAGCATAGATAAATCTGGCGAACTTCGGCCTCGTAACATGTTTGACCGCCCGCCTAGGGATAGTATCCTGGTCGCCGAGATCACCGCACCTGGTCAATTCTCTGGTGATGATCCATTCTATGAATTCTCGTAAGATTCCTTTGACCTTTGTGTTCCTTATTCAACAAATCCAAAGGCCGTAGCGGTTTTTCTCCGAAGCCAAAATCTGACTAGGTTGTATCTTCTATCTTGCCTAAACTTTTAGTCGGCAGATGACGCGAGAAGGATTATGGGATCTAGCCGCGAGAAAGTCTAAAGCTATCTCGGTTGTTAGCCTGTCATCTATGATGCCTAAAATAGGAAGAAGGAATTCCAATCGCTTTACGATGATGGATCTAGCTGAGGAAGAACTGGACGAGCAGAACTATCACTCCAGTCCGCTCAAAGAGAACCTCGCAAGACCTTCCAATTCCAGGGCCATTAGGTTCCTCGAATCCTCTGAAGGTGCAGACTTGAAAATAGAAGACCACATGGTTCAGCCTAATAGGTTTATCCCACCTGTGCCAAAAGTGCCTGTTCAATTTGTTAATGAGCGGCCAGACTCCGGCGAAAAATTATCATCCTTGTGAGTACACATCCCCCCCAGGACTCAAGCCAATGCGTGATTACATGGTGAAGAAACTGACTTTTATGCACTTTCTGGCGGACAAAAGCAATGACATATCATTCCTGTCGCACAAGGAAGACAAACAATCGTCGTACTCGGATCAAAATAGTCCTTTATGCACCAGAATTTACCCTCCTCAACGTACAACCTCTCGACGCGGTAGAGAAGCAGAAGAGTCCACTCATCTTGAACGTGCCAACTCGCAATCCACGTCAGTCGATGTGCTTTCTCCGCCCCAAAGAAGCACATCCCTACGCAAGAAAGGACCAAGGATCAATCATGAACAATCTGGACACCATGACCACGAGGATCCGGAGACTACCGACGCCATCGTGAGGGCTACCACCCCTTTTGGTGATGTGTCCCCGGATGATGCAGTCGCGCAATACGCATCTACCCGAGCCGCCAGCGTCTCCCCTCTACCGACATTGAAGCACAGCAAATCCAGTTCCATGTTGGGATTTATTCTTCGAAGCACAACACCGACACCTCATTCTTTAGATGGACGTGAGTCGCCGGCTTACACGGGTCACTTGGAATCAATCACCGAGCCACTGCCGATGGCTGGAAGAAGTCAAGAGTCGCAAGACCCGCCGCTCGCTCGTCTTTCGTTATCGGAAAGTGTATTAGATGATTATTGCAAGCCTTTTTCAGTGATCTTTGAAGATGAAGACGAGGACGAGGACTACTTCAACCCGCCAAGGCCTCACCATACGCCATACATGCCCAGCAATTCGACCTTCTGGGATAACAACCCCTCAGGAAGATCGCCGGACACAGAGAATATCCCACTCCCGAGGAGATTACCTCAGGCAGCATTAGCTCGCACATCCAGCCATAAGAGTCGACTACGCTCGCATACCGCCACCTCGCCGGAACTTACATCTGTCGCCATGACATCCACATCCTCAACTCCTAAGACACCTTCCTCTTCCTCATTCGGCGCCAGATCAAGGTCGGCCAGCTCTGGAGCCCAAGGCTCCGAAACCTCCCCACACCGCTCCATCAACCATCTTTCATCATCCCACGACCCACCATTGACGCTCAAACGGAACCCATCCCTGTCGACTAATCCCTACGGCCGACGGAGGAAACAGCAAGACGACTCGTCCCTTAGTCGGCAACTCTCCGGATCTACGCGTCGTCACACTGACCGTCAGGATGGCCCCTCGGGCCAGCAGGATGACTCGTACCAGCAGCCCTCCACATCTACCCGTCGTCACACCGAGCGCCAGGATCGCTCCACCAAACGTCATCCACCACACTCCAGAACCCCACGCGGTTCCACTCAAGACCCCAAAAGCCCTGACCCGAGCGCACCTATTCGAAGGGCCGTATCCGCTCAGGCAAGAATCCCACTCTCAGGTTCGTCTTTCTTTTTTTCTTTTTTATTTACTTTGTTGGCTCCACGCTCTTGTTTGCTAATTTAATCCTTCCTCTTTCAGGTACTATGTCTTCGGGTGGAGTCCGCAATTCGTCATTTGTTCCTTAGCCATCTTGATTGCTGGCTCACATGACTTCATATTATTCGTCACCAATCCAATGCAACTCCTTCGCACTTTTTAATCAATCTTTTACACTTGGTTGCATTTTTTGCATTTTTTTATACAGATTTCTCGGTTTGAATTCCATACAATAAAAGCTGTCATTTTTATTTATTTATTCTATATTTCTGGCAAGGGAGGGGGTTACCAAATAATGTCTTACCGTCATTACTTACTAGACGTTTTCTTTCATTATTGAAACGAATGTATTTTTTAGACTTCAACATCCATACAACCATGCTTGCATGCTCGTTATTCCGCTCCTTATTTTCAGTCGTCCTATGGTTACCCCTTCACGCCCACATGTCACATATACTACACACATTGTTCTTATCGAACCCTTCACGCAAACCATACGCTTTTTTTGAAATTCAGAAATGCTCTACTTGAATATGTTGCAGACCTCTGTTGCCTGATACATAATGTCTGGAGGCAGACTTAGATATCATCTTGTAACCTCATGACCACCAAGAAGAAATCTTATCAGGAAAAAGGCAAGGCAATTTGTCCAACATGTGGGAACCTGAATGATCCCAAGGAGGAGTGGATGATGTGTTTGTGACTAATGTAAAATTTCTTCTGTGGAAGAAAGAAATTGTTCCATGGCCAGTTGTTGCTATGTAATATCAGCTCACCAGATAAGGCACCTACAATGCATAGATCTCAGGGAGGACTCTTTCTTGGTGATCAATGGATAAAAGCTGCTGGCCACAGAGAAATCCGCCCCTGCTAGCTCTCTGAGTGTCTGTCCTATAACAAAAACCAAAAGCATGAAACGAGAAACTCTTCATTCATTTTCCAGTTGTTGTTGGGCAGGGAAGACGACCCTTTTCCAGCAGGGACATGGTGCTGAACCAAGGAGGAATACTTCCTGGAGCCCCATCTTTCGATTGAACCGATCGAGCAGCTTGTCGAATTTCTGTAGTTGTGGTTGATGGAGGCCTTGGAATTATGTAGCTCATAAATCTCAGTTGTGAAGCCCCCTTATTTTCTCTATATGGGCATAATCTTGTTTGAACGTCCATAAAACTTCAAATCAATTATGCACTTGACGACAAAAAAATCACATCTCTTACAAAACTCATTCCTGGGTACGCCCTCTTGCCGTCCCTCTAATTGGAGGGACACCATCCCGCTATGTGACAAGTGGTATCACTCTCACCGGGCAACAGGGGCTTGGGTAAGTTAGGGGTAGACTTAAAAAGTGGGCTCCGCTCACAGATCCAACTTCCCGCCAAGTTTGGCTTACTTTGACCCAAGAATGTAATTAGAGATATCATACATATTGTGGGAATTAGCTTCTTTCTCACTTAGCGTGAGTTAAGAAGACATTAAATAAAGTTTGTGCTAGCCATGCCATGGCAAGCACTGGTAAAATATTTCTTCAACATCCCTTAAAGCCAGCTCAAATTTGTTTTTCTGATCATTAGATTAGGAGCTAACTTGTCGCAAATACCCTTAGACGCCAGTAGGTAGAGTAGAAATGCTCCAATAATTCGGTCAAATAGAGTGGATACACGCATGCATTCTAATTTTCTACCCTAAATGTGCTAAAGCCTCAATATGGGTCATCCGGGAGAATCAAGCCAACGGAGCAGGTCACGTACTTTTTTGGTGATGTTGTGGTCACTTGACTTTCTCCTGGTCTAGGCTTCGTCTTTGCAACTTGAAAAAGTAGCCAAGTCAGGATATACAATCATTCGGTCAAGCATCGTTCTCACTCTCCATCGATCGATGAGGTAGACGAAATTCACATTTCCATTCAGTATGGATCCTTCACCGTCACGCCAACCCGAAAGATCGTTTCTTTCTGAGCTGCCTACCGAAATCAAGATGCGTTTGGTTGAATTCGTCGCCCTTCAAACCGAGCTGAGACTGTACTCATACTATCATGCATTCATGAAGCTTGCCCTGGTAGACCGAACATTTTATGAGCTCTGTAGTCCCTCAAATTGGCGGGTGAGTCTTGGGTCGGTGTTGTCAATTTCTAACTTCCTAGGCTCTTGTCTCGTTTCTGTGAATTTCCCAGCTGCTTTACCATCCAGCGTCTTCCCCCAGGATAGATATGACTATACCTGAAGTACGTAGTCAGTTGTTGACGATTGGTTTTAATTATTGCAATACCCCTTCTAGGAGCTTGACCTGCAATACATTGATTTTCCTGACATTGACGAACTCGTCCAAGAAATCCTACCACCTCAAGCAAAACACGTCCAATCGATCATTATCGCGATGCATCCCGATAATCCTCAGGTCTATGAATGGGATTCGGATGAAATAGTCGAAGACGAGCAGATCTTTCCCGTGGGTGAATACTACGAAATATTCAGAATTTGTACCAATTTAACCAAGCTTACCATACGCCTCCAAACGACCTCACTGAGTCTGGATCGCCGGGGAGACTTTGAACTCGACCCTTTAAACCCAATAACAGTGCTGTTGCGACCAATCTCTCAACTTTCGAACTTGACCTTCATAGATCTAAGCCATCAGTATAGCCAGCAGTTTGAAGAAACATTCTTAGTCGAATTGATCAAAAATATGGTCAATCTGGTTCATATTCGTCTGGATTTGGTCAAAGCCGCCTTTCCAACTTGCGATTTTTGCGTCTGTGAATACTCCAAGCAACCCTTTCAGTCGCCCTTGGCTATCCATCTTGCTTCGCTTTCATCACTCAAATTTCTCCATTTCCATATGGTCGACAGCTTTGACTCGGGTTGGAGTAAACTTCGATGGAAAGGTGCGCTCGAGGGAATTTCGCTAGGCAATTCCGATGTTTCAGTGCGTGCCTTGCACAGTTTCTGCAAACTTTTCGAAGATAGTCTAGTGTATCTTTGCCTCTTCCGTGCTCCATCGAGCTTGCAAGAGCGAGGCAGGACTCGATTCCTACTCGATTCAGAACGCGACTGCATCTTTCGCTTACCGAGGTTGAAGAGACTGTCGGTCAGTAATCAATACATGACAGAATTTCTCAAATTATTCTACGAGTCGCCCAACATCATTCGGATCTGCACTATGAACTACAGCCGAGATCTCATATCGTTTGAGGATCTCAAGAGCTTTATGAATCCTGAAGATCCGAAGTGGATTCACTTGCGATCCCTAATGGTTCACATTAGACAAAACACCTTCAGTGAGAATGACATCAAGGAATTGATTAGATACGGCGCAGAAGCTGGGGTGGAGGTGGAATGTGGAAACCTCAGGGGAGTGCGACCACCATTTTTCGAAGGTGACCTATTCCCATATGAGCAGGGCAGCCCAGATTGGTCTGATGCAGAAAGTGATTGGGAAGTGGACAGCGAGGATGAGGATGGGAGGTAGCTGGTATATCAGAAAGCGTAGCTACTGAGAAGTGTCTAGTGTATCTATTAAGATAGATTCCGAATAAAATTCTTTTTGATTGTTTGTGATCCATGGTCATCCATACTAAACTTGTCTCTCTTTGATGGTGATCAACGTCGTGGTTTTATTTTTATTTTTTCTTACAAAATGTATTCATTTCTTCAAGTCGTCAATTGTTAGCAATCAATCTTCTTGTGGGTGGTGTGTAACGATGGCTTGTGTGCTGAGTGAGTGGGATTGAAGAAATACTAGATTCTGGCCAAATTAGGTCAACAGTCTCATGGGGGGGGACTCGCCAATGAATGCCGTCCTACTAGTGAGTTTTCTCAACTAATTGGGCACTTTTATAATATTGTATGCCTCTCCCAGCACTGTCATCTCTTGACCATCAGGTCTTTCCAAGCACTCAGCTGTTGACCATCACTGCACACTCAGCTGTTGACCATCTTAATACTCAAGTCTCCTGATTCTAGCATAAGAATCAAAAGACCGAATCTCTCAATACTTTATAAAAACCATCACTCCTAAGTAACCATCCAAAACCTCCCTCCACACCATCAACCTGCGTTTGGTTTTCACCCAAGGACCTCACGTTGAACCCTTTTGGAAAGAGTTGGGAAACCTGTGATCAGGTGTACTGGCCGCACGAAAGCCCAAGCTCGACTCATTCCATTCATCTCACAATGGATTATTCTCCTGCTCGCGATGGGTAAGTAAACCGCCTGACTATCGTGCTCTCACGCCTGACATTCGGAACCTCTACCAATACCTGCTTTGCGATACAGTCTGCAAGAGCGATACCCACTTTTCAAGCCCCCAAGTCCAAGTCAATCCGAAAGTATCAGTGATTATTTCGATGATGGTTTGGACGAAGGCAGTCTCAATAACTTGGTTGATAACATCGATCGGCATGCGCAATACCCATCCATTCAGGCTCAAAACCTACCCTTCGAAAGCAATGATCAACAGTCTGACAGATACTATTCACCTGTGCCTCAGATGAGTAGGAACTCGTTTAACCGGAATTCATCCACCGAATTCCCAGATCAATATGAGAGTCAGTCCGTCTACCCAGGTCAGCTTCCTAATGTGTTTAATTGGAATGCCCGCGAGCATCTGATTAGCGATAGTTAAGATATACCTGACTGTTTACCTTTCAGATAACCCCGCTGTCGATTCAACTTACCAAGACAACCATTACCAACCAGTCGGACCTCATAGACCTCGTGTTTCTGGACCAAATTTAATCCCTGTTACCGCATTGCGTGCGTAGCAATTCGGTTAATGAGTCATGTAATCATCAGCTTTCTTGATTACTGATTTTCCTTTCCACAGCCGAGCCTTACACGGACTTCTTTAGTTTCAGTCACTTTAACAGTGTACAAAGCGAATGTTTCCCAACAGTGAGCATGGGTCTTGAGAATCCACCGAAAAAAAAATGTACACCAAGAAAAGATAATTGAGCGATATGATTAATGGATGTGCAAGGTTTACGGGACGAATCACAACGTTTTAACAAACGCTCCCACAGGAAGTGGAAAAACGGTAATCTTCGAATTGGCAATCTTAAGAATGCTGGAATACAATCAAGTCTCGAAAGGGGTCTATATGGCTCCTACCAAGTCATTATGCGCGGAACGATTTCGAGATTGGAGTACACGGTTTGGTTCGCTCGGGGTAAAATGCGTCGAGTTGACGGGCGACAGCGAGAATGCTGGACTAGCTGATGCCAAGCTTGCAAATCTTATCATCACCACGCCTGAAAAGTGGGACAGTATGACTAGGAGATGGTAAGTAGCTCCTTGACGCGCTTATTTGTTGAGCTGAATTTTGATGGACATGATATGATGAATTACAATAGGTTTGAATTCTCCAAGCTCCTGAACAAAATCAGACTGGTTTGCATCGATGAAGTTCATATGCTAAATGAAGAGCGCGGCAGTGTCCTCGAAGTGATAGTGGCACGCATGAAAACACTTGGAACTAGTTCGTCAGATTCCAAATTTCTGTCGTAGTCTGAAGTGGATTACTCATGACCTTTTTTACCTCGCGCCATGTACTAGATATACGACTGATCGCACTCAGCGCGACAGTACCGAATATATCAGATGTGGCCGAGTGGCTAGGAGACGGTGGGGTCGCAGATCAAAATGAAATGGCATTGACAGGCCAAGCGCCAGCGAAGACTTTCATGTTTGTCCAGCACTTCGAGGGTATGTTTGATAGCACAGGCTAACTTCTTGATTTACTTGGCTCAGCTTTGGCGAGGAACACAGGCCGGTCAAATTATCCAAATTCGTATATGGCTATACTCGTCGGCCAGAGCATACTGAATATCAGTTCATGAGTTTGCTAAATTTTAAGTAAGCAATTTTACATCTTTGTATTGTTAATTTTTTTTGCAAGCATGCACTAATAATAGTGAAATGTTTAATTGCCTGGAATCCAGGTTGATGGATCATATCACGACTCACTCGTCTGGCAGACCGTAAATGATGCTTTTCGAATACGATCATCTTCTCGGCTGAATGTAACTGAAATTTCCTTTCATTAGAACTTTGGTATTTTGCGGCACCCGCAAAAGTTCGTTGCAAGCAGCCGAGACTCTGTCGAAATCTTATCAAAAGATGTCAAGTCAGGGGGAAAAACTCCCATGGGAAGCTCCAAAAAGGTATTTTTCAAAAATACAGAAAAGAAAAATTTGGGGTCGGGATATTGTCTCATATGTATCTTTACTCTTTCAGTGCAGGAACATTTAGTGATAAGAAGTTGACTGAACTCGGCGCTCAAGGGATTGGAGTCCATCACGCTGGTCTTGACCAATCTGACCGCAGGCAAATCGAAAGCCTCTTTACGTTGAACAAAATATCCGTTTTATGTGAGGCTACTTCTTTTGATCCCCAAGGATTTAGAAAAAAAGACTTACTTCAATCCTGTTGATAATACATCAGGCACCACCTCAACGCTGTCCGTTGGCGTTAATCTTCCAGCTAGGTGTGTAATTATTCGCGGGACCAAAACTTACCGAGGTGGAACGAGCAGTAGAGATGGATTCGAAGATTACAGCGAATTGGATTTGATCCAAATGATGGGAAGAGCAGGAAGGCCTCAGTTTGACGATGAGGGCGTGGCGGTGGTGATGACTTCCCAAAATGACAAAATGCGGATTGAAAAACTGGTCAAGTCGGAGACCATGTTAGAATCTTGGTTTGTCATTTAAAATTCTTTTCACCATACTAAACGTCGGATTACTAACCTTCTTAAGTTATTCCTAAATTGGTTAAAGCCTTCACTTGGTGAGTTTATATTCTCTTGGCACTTGAAAAACATTTGATTCTTGCACTGATTTTTTTTTTTTTTGAATGTAGAATCTCACCGAGCACATCAATTCCGAGATTTATATGGGGACCATCATCAGTCGCAGTTCGGCCATTGATTGGCTTGAAAATTCATTCTTATCTGTACGGATAAAAAGTATGCTTTCTTTCACTAGTCGGGTTTTGTTCTGGGGTAATTGACTTGGTGGTTGATATTTTTAGAAAACCCGAAGCATTACTCAATCAGTGACGACCAAGTTGCGCCGGACCAACAGTTAGGAAAATTTGCAGGCGCCGCTTTGGATCTTCTATTAGAGGATGGATTGATCGAGGAAGATGAAGATCAGGTGATTCGGCCAACAGAACTTGGTGAAATAATGTCAAAGTTTTGCCTCCGACACAAAACATTCTTAGGACTCGCCCGGATGAAATCGAGTGCTACGATGAGGAATATCTTGGAGATTGTGTCTGGCGCGGAGGAATATTGTACTTTGAGGCTCAGGGCAGGTCAGAGATTCTCACCAATTTCTTATGAATCAATCAAATGCTGACCTTGGACACCAAAAAAAGGTGAAGGGGTAGCATACAAGGCCCTCAATTCACATCCTGAAATGAAGTGCCCCATTCCTGGAAAGATTACACAAACCTGGCAGAAGGTTGGCTTGAAGTTTTGGAAAAGTATGAATTTCTGTTTCAAGCAAGGACTGACTGTTTCTAAATTCAAAGGTCATGCTATTAATTCAGGTGAGACAGACGCCAATGTTTCTGAATAGGTTGGTTGGAGAGAGTCACTTATCCAACTCATTTTGAATCAGGCGGTCCTTGGCGGTATCCCCTTAGCTGAGGTCAAGGTCGAGAACGCCAACCCACTGATGGAAGTCAACATAATTTGGCAACATCTGCCCCGAATTTGTAAATGTGAGGAGCACGATCTGTTTTGTTTGAATGTGACCGTCTAGTCTGATCGCTCATGCATTGAAAACTAGGTCTTGTTGCGCTGTCTATTTCACGACACGATGCTGCAATTAAAAGCTGTTTAGAATTGTAAATAAATTTGTTTCTTTCTATCTTCTATATTGTACAAGTCTGATTGCTTAAAATATCTATTTTTTACTATCAAGTTTACGATCAGTCACAGCCAAAGCTTGGGATGATTCACCGTGGGTGTTGCGCCAGCTCGATTCGATCGGGGAGAAGTCCGTCAAGCGCTTTGTAGATGCAGGAATTGCAACAATCGATAAATTACAAAATACATCCAATCACCGGATAGAAATGGTGAGTCGCTTCTATTTTCTTTGCGCATGTGAGAGCTGCCAAACTTATCGGAGTCTTTCAAATCCTAGATACTTGATCGGAACCCCCCTTTTGGGACCAGAATTGTCCGCCAAGCACGCTCTATGCCTAAGTTCTTTTGCACGATGGAAACGATATCAGAAACTGTTGTTCCAGAAGGCGTACAAGTCTGCGTTGAAATTACTGTAGGACTATCAGATACCGGCGAAACCCCTGTTTGGAAGTGGAAGAACTACATACTGATGGCCACCGTGCTGGTCATGACAAATGATCAGGAATGGATTGAGTTTCGAACAATCCAGTACGTGCAAATTATACTTCCTTCAAAATGATGACGTATGAATTTAGATCCGTCCTTAATGCGTGTAGGGTGAAATTGCTCCGCGAAACAAAACAATTCAACGTTGAATGCATCCTGGTAAAGCCGTCCCAAACGATTGTCACTCAAGTCGCATGCACCCAGCTAGCTGGAATCGGCGTGAGCAGTCGCTGGAAGCCCCGCACATCGAGAGAGCACTATCCAAAACCAAAAACAATCACCGATGATCAAGCCGCCTCAATTGAAGTGTTGCAAGGATTGAATACAAAAGACTTGGCGGCATCGAGCACTGAGTCCGAATGTGAATTCTTAGAGAAACCACCGAAGTCCATGAGCAAATCTTCGACTCAAATTGCACGTCCAGTGCACAAAGCGGATAAAGTTTGCCCAAAGTCACAAGCACCTAATGGAACAGCCGAGCCCAAGCGACCTGTGACTGAAGTTAGAGAAAGATTGAGTAAGTTGCTCTGCATAGCTATTAGAGATAATTTGAAGCTTTGGAATTGATTGTCTGTTGTTATAGAAAATGGGCGGTACAAGTGCGCTCACAGATGCAAAGGAGCATGCCATCACGTTTGGTATGTTGAAACTCCTGACCAATACCACAAATTTTAAAAAATTACAAATCCGACCATTAAATGTCTTGTGGTCTACTTTAGCTGTAGGGACGGGGTTTCCAAGCCGCCAAAGATCCGTGAAGCCAACAAGATTTCTCTAGCGAATTCAACTGATTCTCAATATTCGGGAAGCCAAAAATCGTTGCCCTTGAATCCCATCAGGACGACGAACATCACTCGAACCCCTGAGGATTGGCAAAAGATTCGGCAAGCTGTACCAGGTAGCTCTTTTCACGCGAATCAACCGAAGCTCAGTGGAAGAATTAAACCCATCAAAAAAATCCCTGAAGCTATACAGGTGGATCGCCATGATGAATTGCCATCTTTGGAGGAGCTGCAAGAGATGTCGACTATAGAGACAGAGAAAACGCGCCCCTCGAAAGGAATTGGGGGAGGAAATGATCGTAAGGCTGAGGTCCGATCGCAGCATGGTAATGAGAAAGAGTTGGATCCGGTTCCAAAAACTGCAAAGAGGCCAAAGGAAGTCGTTGGAATAGAAAAGTTCCGAAATATGAAAAAAATTGTGGAGGATTTTGACGAACGCGGAATATTCCATCAACAAAAAGAAATCCCCATACCTCCGCCTGTCAATCTTCCAGACGTCGCAGTGGTCGAAGATACGGAACCTCGAGATTCGAAAAGTCTCTCCCTATCCCCCGACATTAGCTTTCCACCTTGTAATAATAGCCACAATGACGAAGAGAGACCTCAGGCGTCAGAAGGAGAAGATGAGACAGATGAGCTTGACGAAGATTGGGACATCAAAATTTTCGAAAGTTATTTGGCTCCGGAAGAGTCCCGCAAGGCTTTGGAGGCCAAGGAGTCTGCAGTGACGAAACGGCAGATCGATCAATCCTATGGAAACCACTCCGGTCCAACACCCAAGAAACAGAAGCTAACTACAACGGAATACTTCAAAAGCCTTTCACCTCCAGACAACGAAGAAAACTGGCCTCAATATCCGTCGAGAGATAATTCGAAGGATCCACGAGAGAATGCAGATGATCAGTCTCCTAGACAACCGACTTTTACTAGGGAAGGAGAGGCCCAAGCCGAGTCAGAGAAGGCCCCGGAAGATGATGAGTATGATGAGCTTGATAGTGATGACTCCATGACGGCTAGGATGGATGAAGTTTTGGCCTGGGCTGAGTCCCACGTGATAAAAGAATGAATTCTCATTCCTCAATGTTTTTTCAATTTTTTTCCACCTTAAGAAATTACCCATATTCATAGCACTTTTCAATATAAAATACCTCATTTCAGACAGTAAAATAGGCCACATTATTTCCAGACATAGACAAGTAGTCCAGTTTTATTATGTTTCCTCATTAGCATTATCCTGCTCATTTGTTACTTTGTCATTCTACATTTCCTACCTCTTGTGAGAGAGATCATTCCATTTGATGGAGAAGCACGGGTTTCAAATGAATCAAGCATTGGTGGGAGTTGGGGCTGAGTTGAGGCCCCAAAGTCCTTTTCCTTACCAATCATACACATTTATTGTACAAGCTCCTCATCATTTGTTTGAGGAATCATCAGGCCAGTAATTAGTGTTTTCCTTTCTTTTTTGCTGCTCTAAACCAAAATACCAAATCAAGCACAAACACACATGCAAACAAATGATTTGCAAGAAGTCAGAAGAACAAGCCCAATTGACAAATCCTATAAAAATACAAAATAAATAAAAATACATTTGAAGCGGAAGAACAAAGATAGGTGAGCAAATTGTTTGGACGGTTGCATCTGATAGACAGGCAGCTTTTTTTTATCAAGCAATTCCTCACAGACTGCAGCCTCACGTCATGGTCTTAAGCTCATGACTCGGATGTAATTGAGCTTAGGGAGAAGGCCCATGTATTTTTTTGCTGCCTTGAAAGTTGAAATCAAGCAGCGCAACCACAGTCCAACTATAGCAGACTACAGCGTACATATTGGGAACAGAAAATTCTTCAATGTGATTTCTATTTTTTTTTCTACTTGCAATATTTCTAAATAAGTCTTATCTAAGATGGTCACAACGCTCCGATAAAAGGCAAAGGGCCCGGTTCATCTCATCCAAGAAGCAAAACAGAATCAGTCTTGAAAAAAAACGGAATATGGCTTGGGGTTGATATGGGGATCCAATTGAAGCCATATTCCATTCTGTTTTTATTGAGTGGAGTCCTGAAATGGTCAAAAAAAACCATTCATCAGATTCTTGACACTGTGAAACGGACTGGTGCATGAGGGTAACATGTATACCTGGCTTGTTGGGCATTGTCAACTCCATGTAAGAACATCATGCGTCGTGGCATTTTCCCCACTTGGCATAGCCCACGTCTAGTTCTTCTCCCTATAATTGTATGGAAGATAAGGATTAAACACTGGCATAATGACATGGATGAAGTCTGATCAATGTGTAGATTGAATACTACCAACCGGTTTAGGGCTTCCAGGTACTACGCCGGGAGGACAGCACTTGCCCTTCCCTAGACCCACATTACAGTAAAACCCTCCATCTTGTGGTTGAGAAACGACATCTGCAGGGTCCCATTGAGAGAACAACAAAATGATTGCAGTTCGGTCAATTGGGCTCACTTACTGTTTGTTTGCTTGGTAAGGGGAACAACACTCACATCTTTCTGGAAGTTTGTCACGGGCTTCCACATGACAAACAGCGGTCCCAACGCAGAGGAAAGCAGTCGCAAAGTTGCAAACCATGGCCAAAAAAATAACGGTGGTTAGAAGGTGCATCTCGGGAAGATCAGCTGGTAGAGGATGGCGAGTGTGTACTTGAGGGCTTGAGCGAATGATTGGGATGATGGAGCTCATCGGAAGGTGTAGAGCCCTCTGCTTTATAGCATTCAAGACCTCACACTGAGGCCTGCAAGACATGTTGCAAATTCAACAGATACAAGTGTATCAGGGGAGGCAAAACCACAGCTTGTATTCGATGAGCCGGCCCAATTCAACATCTGCACAAACGCACTGAGGCTAGAGATGGGCGGGGATAATCCGTTGCGGATATCCGATATCCGCTGGCGGATACCCGCCAGAGTATGTGGATTTGGGTGCGGATGTCCTTTCCTCCCTCCCCCCAAATCCCGGCGGATATCCGGGTATCTCCTATAATACCCGAGACCAATGGCCGGCTGGAAGGGTTTCTCTTCAGCCCGCAAGGTCTTTCTATTTGGCAAGGCATGTACCTTGTCGACTGGAAGGGTTGCCTTCTAGCCGGCGAGGCATGTACCTCGCGGACTGGAAGGGTTTCCTTCCAGCCGTTGAGGTACATGTACCTTGTCGGCTGGAAGGTTTCTCGGAGAGGTACATGCCTTGCCGGCTGGAAGGCAACCTTTTCTAGCCGGCAAGGATGTGCCTCGCCGGCCATTTAGAGGGCGGGTATCCGAGGCAGCGGTGGGCCGCTACGCTACGCTACGCCTTTGGCCCAAAAAGCGTAGCGTAGCGGCGCTTTTTTTTCATCCAAAAACCGTAGTGTTAGCGGTTTTTTAGCGGTTTTTTGCTATGCTATGCTGCGCTACAGCGCTTTTAGCGGAAAAAGCGGCCAAAAACCGCTGTAGCGCAGCGTAGTGGCCCAGTGGGCCCTTTTTTGCGGCCCACACGTGTAGCGTTAGCGGTGTCCTGGCGGAATTCCGCTACGCTACGCTAATTGCTAACAGCGATTCCACTGTGTTACGCTACACTAACCGCTACGGTTAGTGTAGCGGCCCACCGTTGTCTGAGGATATCCGCTCGGATACCCGCTAAGGCGGGGGGATATCCGCCAGGGGATGCGGATGCGGGTGTGGATGCCGCTTTCCCCGGAAAAAGCAACCGGATATCCGCATCTGCGCGGATATCCGGATGCAAAGTGCCCATCTCTAACTGAAGCATCCACACATATGGAGGGCTCTGGGCGTACTACATAAATTGATTCAAAGGAGTACTTGGTGCGAAATGAAAGCTGTAAATAGATCCAAGGAGTTTGCCATCATGTCGTCGTGCCCTGCCAATACTTATCACAAAATTGTCTCTGCATGCAAACCCAATGCATAGGAAAGGCGCTGGTCTAGACTGGAGTCTGAAGGGCAAAGGGCCTCAGGTCAGCGCCTGATTGTCCATTTGTGTAGGATACGTAGGACTCATTATGTACGTGTTTGCTGTCCAAAACTTTGGCCATGTGCCAGCCCGCCTCCGCAAAACACGACATAGAAGCTGTTTTAACCAGTGTGATCATGACCACTCAAAGCTCAGTATCAACATCAAGCACAATTTAAGATACTTGTCAACATACACTCAGCCTCAGGTTCGCAAAACAGGCTTACAATGAAGGCCTTGGTGGCTTGCGATTGGAATGGGCTTGGTTTGAAAACTTGATGATCTCAAAGGCTCATCCGCAGTGAAATTCAGCTTTGCGGTCTTCCAGTTGCAAGGTGTTTGGTATCTGGGTGTATAAAACCTAAACAGCGTCCCCTATATGGAGGACGTCGAGATGTGATGGCTTTCTAACCAGCAAGAAGCCACCAAGGCCAACTCGGTGTAAAGTGTGAGGGACAAGGATGCATGCGCCAGTGGAAAAGCTGTTTCTGGATATTTTTTGGAGTCCGGAGTGGCTCTGATTTCTTCCATCGACCTGATTAAGTCTACCTTGCAAGGGGAAGGGTCAACAGAGATGGACAGGGATTGATCTTTTCTGAAGATGAAAAGCAGTAAAAGTGGTGCCTAACTTGAAGAAAAACATTATAATTAGCTTCTTGAGGCTCATTGGGAAAACAGGTGCCAGGATCTACAGTTTTTTGATTCAAAGAAAATGACTCAGCAAGACCCTCCAGTCATGGTTGGGACAATCCAAGTGAAAAGAGGTGAGCTAGGATCATACAGGATGTGCAACTAAGAGTAACAACTCAGTCTCATGAGTCACAATGCAAATTACACCCAAGGACCCAATGATGATGATTGTTCCCAACTTGAGAGTATTTTTGAGTTTCTGCCAATGTTCAATGCTAGTCAGTCTCTGCGGAGCTTTCACTCTCTTCATTTTTAGATCAACAGCCAAACTCACCAGCTGATTTCTCTTCTTGATTGTGCTCAATTTCAAAGAAAAAAAATGGAGCTTGGTGGTACAAGATACACCACTTACCATCTGGTTAGCAAGGATACAAAGTGTATAGAATCAGGAAAAATCAGTGATCACTTGATGACAAGTGACATCCAAAATTGAAAATACCCCTTTGTAAACTGAGAATTGTTTTGCCTGGGGTACAGTATTAAGTCAGGTGCTCAAATATATTACAATACAAGGAGTGAAAATTCTGGACAGACAAGAATTTATTGCCAGAGCAAGCCCACCCAACCCCGGGAAGCCATTGGGATGGAGGGGAAACCAGACAGATATTGGTAGATCAGCACATTGAATTGGTAAAATCAGTGCCTCTGGAAGACAGGCTATATAACGCACATCTCCCCAACCCAAAGGGAATTTTTCCATCCTTGATTCCTTATGAGATTATCCATAATAATTGTATCTTTCAAGGACAATCACTCCAAGCCACTTGGGTATATAGCTATTGAAGTGAAGATCTACTTCAATAACAATGATTTATGATAATTTATTTTCTTACCAGGATCAGTAATTTTTTTCTTGCACAAAAAGCCCCAAAAGCCGTACTTTGTGGTGATTTCAATTGGAAAACCAATAATTTCAAATGCTTTGCCCATAAGAGCATCTCGTAGGAAGAAGGGGTGGATTGGACTGTTTTCAGAAGGTTCGACCATGATTACATAAGCTTTCACACACTTTGAACTGTCAAAAAGGTATTGGAGGAATTCCCTGTGAATTTGGGACCCTTGCAGATGCTGATTTAGACCCAAAAAGTCCAGAATTTCACTGGGAAATCTAGCTTTTGAGGCCTCTAGATTGCAAGTGGCAGAACCACAGATGTTAACGGGAAGTTTTCCATTGAATTGATATTTTTGGGCTCAGCAGACGCAGACCTGAAGTGCATCTCAAATACACCTGGATCTTGCTCTTGTGTAGGAGGGACTTCATCAAATTGGAGCAGACCTGCTAAAATCAGGTCCCAGCTGTCTATTTCCCCCTCCCTATCCAGGAAAAAAATTGAGAAAGCTGCAGGTGAGAGACCTTTTATTCCTGCTGAGAGCAGCTCAATCCACTCCTGATCTGTTAAAGATGCCTCAATGGTACATGCATTGGCCCACCACTTGAAGACAAGCAAAAACTGAAATATTCTCACAAATGTTGAACCAATGCAGACTAAGTTGGAAATGCAGTGGAACAAAAGAAGAAGATGAGGATGCATATGGAGAGAGTCAATCAGATCAAGATGCCCCTGATCTATTTAGTTGGTTCACTAGCTACACTCAAAATCTTGGTAACACCACACAGGTGTTGACATATGAGTGACATCTGTGTGACATCCCTCTATGACTCCAAGTGGTCAATTTCAATATGACATCATTTCTCAAATCAACTCTCAGACACTCGGTCAGATCCTCTCATTCCTCTGCAAAAACTCTGCTCAATCCCTCGCTCATCACGATCCTCAAACATATAAAGAAGACACTTCTCTGCGACTTCTTGATTCCGGTCTCTCCTTGTGGAACCTCATCAACTTCTTTTTTCATCAATTGATATTCTTCAGAAACCTCTACATATTCATTTGCTGAATTGTTCCTCCAGACTTGTCAAATACATTTCTTGATGACCATCTCCTAAAAGCGCTTTGTTTGCTCACCTCCCTCGAATTCACACATCCCTGTTCTGCGCTTCCGTTTGCTTTCCACTTCTTTTCGACTGCTCGCCGACATCTCTGCTGAATTGCAAGATCTTCGCCATCTAGTATGTTCTCACTCAACAGACCTTTCTCTTACCTCAACGGCAGCTGACTGATCACTCTTATATTAATTCTTTTCTTCCTAGCATCTTCCTGTTTTCTGCGTTCTTGTGTCATTGTCCTGTCACCTTGTTGTTTCTGCCTTTAGGTATTTATTTTTTCATCGTTCCTTTTTATTTCTTCTTTGTCACATTGTCATACATGTTACTCATAAGAAATAAAACCTTCAGTTTGTTCATTCAAAACAGGGGATCCAACAAAAAAGATTTATATTCAGTGACTAACCAAGTATAAAGATGACAGAGAATTTGACAAGTTTAGCAGCACTTGTGGAAGGACTCCTTTTCTCATCATTCAAAAAATAATTCTCTCTGTACCATGTATGTATTTTCTCTTTCTCATTTTATTTTCTCTTTTCCTTCTTTGTTATGATTCTCTCATTAACCTTTAACCTGTCTAAATATTGAAAGCAGAAGCAAAAACTGAAAACACACTGTGGGATGATTGCTGTACTACTGCAGACCCTTGACAGAAATAATGGAACCCCTCTATACAACTTCATCAGGCAGGGGTTTTGTTTTTTCTGTCAAGGGGCTGTACATGCTTCTGCAACTACCATACATATGAGGGAAGTAAATTGTGTTTTGAGTGTGTGGTTTTCCTGGAATGTGAGCAGAGTATGTAGAAGGTAGTGCAAGTGCACAAAAAGATTTAAATTATAATCCAGTGGAGTTCCAGCAACACTGCCAGTGGTGAACAAGGGTGAAATTGACCACAAAATCTGGGTCATAGACTGATTTTTTGAGCAAATGTATGAGAAAAATAAAAAAAGGGAAAGAAATTTTAAACTTTTGAAATGCTTAGTGCTTCTAATTTTGTTTTTTCAGAATCCAAAATTCAGTTTTGGGTTTAATGTTACATCAGTGCCACCAAATTCAATTTCCAAGTTGAAAATTGGAAATTGGCCTGGAAATTCACCAACTTGGTGGCCATGGTACAGGACCTAATTTTGAAATCTACACATCCATGCAAGTTCCAAAGTGCCTACATCTTATTACAAAGGGGCATGAATAACCTTGACACACCTTTTACAGCCTACAAAATTGTGCACACCTTCAATTAAGATATGGCATATTGCACAGGACCCAATAGTCATGATCTTATACCCTCTACATAATATAAGGGCCTGTACCATAGGGCATGAAAATTCAATTTCTCAGAATTTGTCTTCCTCAAATTTTCATTTCATCAGAATTGACCCTCATCAACACCAAGTTTTTGGTCCAAATGTGAGAGATCTCTCCACTTGTTTTCATTTTTTTTGTAGGAGGCAGAAAAAATGAATAATTTTCAAAATTGAATCCCACAGTACAGGCCCTAAGTCTTACCCTGGCACACACAAGAATTTGAATTACTGAAGCTGTTGCATTAGTAGGATTTTATCAGTTCTTCACAGCGGAAGTTGGCCATCATAATATTTTACAAGATTGAAACCACATGTATTTAATGTGTTGCCCAATGCCTTTTTTCTCTTTTTGTAATTTTGATAAAAAAGGAATTTTTTGATACTTTTAGATATTTCATAATACACTAAAGGCTGAATTAACCAAAAACAGCCTATAATTGCTGGAATTGAAGGCTATGTTCCAGCACTCAAATTTATTGATATTTATTCTCCACAAAGTTGATACAACAGGCATGTATCATAAGAATTGTTTTGCTACAGAAACATTTATCTGTAATGGTCCATGGTTGTACAGCCTGTTGAAGGAAAAAATCAAACCATTTAAATGGAGTCTAGAGGTTAAACCAATGACCTGAACTCTATGAAGTCTAGTGAAACCATAGATAATTATTTTCAAGTAATGATTCTGAAAAGTTGGGTAGAAAATGGTTTTGTAAAATTGTTGTATGCTTTTCCTCATTTTTTTGTTTACTTTTTTGGTATTTTGCAATCATAGTTCAAAGTAACTCAAAAAATCAAGTTCAAGACAATTGCATGCAAAAATAAATTAGGGCCCAGACCATATGGCATGAAAATTCAATTTTTCATAATTTATCAGAATTTATCTTCCTCAAACTATTATATAATCAACAGTGACCATCACAAAAGGCCATTCATAAGCCCAAAAATGAAGAATTTCAACTCCAGATCTCTGCCCTTGTTTTCAATTGTTGTGTAGAAGACAGAAAAAATGACCATTTTTCAAAATTCAATCCTATGGTACAGGCCCTTATTATAAATGGAAAAATTGAAAAGAAGTTATTAACAGCCGTTTTAAGCAGGTTTGGAATGTGACATCTACCAGACCAATGTTCCCTGCAATCAGGCACTGAAATCAAATTTAATTCCAATCGCAGTCCAGTAACAGTTCCTTCTGCTCTCTAAAATTTGGATGATTATTTCTTTCAATTTTTCATTTATGATTGTTCTTTTCACACGAAATTGTGTTGATCTTGATTTTTTTTGAGCTACTTTGAAAAATGATTGAAAATTACCAAAAAAAAGTCAAAAAACAAAATGAGGAAAAATATACAAAGTTTTTACAAAGCATTTTTCTATCCATCTTCTCAGAATCATTCTTTGGAACTCATTTTCAACAGTTTCACCAGGAGTCATAAATTGCAGTCTATTGGCTTAACCTCTAGACTCCAATTAGAGGATTCAACTTTTTCTGTCATGGGGCTGCACACAGTGAGGAGCTGCTATAATCAAATTTTAATTAGAAAAAGATGCTTTAAAGTGCTTTGGAGACTTTGACAGCACCTAAAAATCAGTTTAAATCATTGGAAACTGTTTCTTAGAGTGGAGGACTTCCTGTCAGTTTATTTACATCCTCTGTAAAGCTAGACTTACAGGCCGTGAAGCCAAATCATTGCTACAAAAACAGCTTTATAGCCTGTGAAAATATCTTCAAAGGGGGGCTGTAAGATTGAAGGGAAGTCCTAAAATATAGAGGCTTGGGCTCCAAGAGAATATGTCTCTTTCAAGTTTCCACTGAGTAGGAATACTATGCTGTTTGGTTGGCCTTTCAAAATGAAGATAATTCTGTCAACACTGCAAATGGGTACATAGTTGCTCCAGTTAATAAATAGTAATTTAATGCATGTATCATATCTTATCCTAATGAGCTACCCACATCTGATTCTATCTTGCATAGGTCTCAAAATAGCTTTTTAATCAACCCATCCCTTTAATTATGCTGGGATTGTCGGTTCATGCTAGAATATGGCATAGGAAAATATGGGACTCATGAAAAGTTATTCATCCCTTCAACTAAGATTTTGCCTCCTTCATACAACAACCAGTCACTTTTTACAAGGTTCTGGTCAATTAGCTTTAAACACACCAATTTTGAAGAATCCAATACTATAGTGTCCAAGATCCTTGATTCTCGTTATCATTTTTTAGAAGACTTTCTACAAAGTTTAATCCTGTTTAATTCCATCTAATATTCCTAAAAATAGATGGTCTATTCTCTTGAGTATCATCAATATTTATAAGAGCTTGGAAATAGTAGGGGGATTCTTACACTTTGCTCTCATGGTTCATTTATGAATACACCCACTCTGTGCCTGAGCCGGGTATCGTGTACCCGACTCCACGGGGTACGGGTTCCACCGAGATTTCAACTTGAGATCGGAGCTGAGACAGCTTGAACAGATCATCAATTACCACATTCGACCACTCCATATTCGAACTTCATTCGAGGCTCTCACCAACCAAAGAAAAAAACGAAAAGGAAGACGAAAACTCATTGGATCGATTTCCAGCTAGTGTTTTTTTCTTTTCTTTAGACGTTCAAGATGAGTGACGAACAGGATGAAGGGTCGTACATAGAAGAAGACGAGGAGGAGGAGGAGGAGGAGGAGGATCAATTCACGAGCTCGGAGTTCCAGCAGGACGAACGGGGTGGTTCGATGTCGTATCTCAGATTCCATGCCCCAGCCGGCGCCGGAGAAGGTCTAGACAGCGAGCCAGGGGAGGGGGAGGCTCGGGAGGAGGGTACGGAGATGGAGGAGCTGGATGAGGAGGAGCTAGACAGTCTGGCAGAGGCTTCCGAGGATCAGGTCGTTCGACGGGCCCTTGAGATTCTCGGGCTCGACCCCGACGGACGCGTCTTGCCCCTCTCGGCCGACCAGGAACTCCTTCTCCACTCGCTCTGGGCTAAATCCGGCGCCGCCGATCTTCGTCCCGGCCTCGCCCCAGCATCCGCTAAACCTCTCGACTCCCACTCCGCTCTCGCCCCGAAATGGCTTCGCGATCTCCGCCACTCCGTCCTTTTCTCGCCCCCCTCGGACCCCCAGGAGGAAGAAAACCTAGTCAACGCGATCAAGAAGAATCTTTGCTCAATCGTCAATAATCTTTCTGAAGATCAGTTGAGTCGTTCTCTCTCTCTCTGTATCATGTCAACATCTTTTCTCATCTTTCGCCCCTCCTTCAGATGGCGACATCCGCCTCCACCGTCCTTCCTACCTTCGACGAGCTGCTCGTCGAGTCGAGCGAATCCTGAAGGATTCGAGGGCGCCACCAGCTCGACGCACGAACACGAAGCTTACCTGCAACGGGAGTTCAATCCGCTCTCGTTAGTCTCCTCGCTCGCAGCTGACTCGATGGCCGACTCAGCCCAGCCGCCCCGTCAGCTTTGGCTCGGTGAAGATGAGGACGACGGTTTGGACTCAGAGGCCAGCCTTATCGACCTCCTCAATGCTTCACCTGCCCTCCCCGAATCTGCCAACCAATCTCATCTCTCCCCCACCTGGCCTCGGCCTCGTCGCTCAAACACTCGCCATGCTCAAAGTAGTTCTCTGGCTAGGCAAGTCAGCCGTTTAGGGATGGGCGAGTAATCCTTACATATCATCAACTTGGATTTTGAATTCATCACATTAGAAATTCAATCCAAAAAGAAAACTGTAATTGTCCTTATTAGACGTAAAACTAAGAAATTTGTACAAAACATCGCAACAAATGTTATAAATCCATGAATACATAACCTAGAGAGACAATCAGTGTAGTGGCAATTATAATTTATTTACAGTGTGACTGGAACTCAGCAAAAAGAATGCTTGGAACGCCTTGAAGGCCAATGTTTGACTGAGTGAATATCGTTATCTCAACAGAGATCAGTGAAGGATGGCAAGGTAGAAACATGCAAGTTCGCTTGAGGCTGAGCGAAATACCCCTGATTCTTCTCAACACAGCTTTACTCTTGGTTTCTCATTCAGTTGAGCTAACATACTAGGAGAGCAGTGGTTAGACTAAGCGGACAGTGGGTTAAGATGGAATGAAAAGGCTGTTGGTATTTTTAGGATCATGGGATCGCAGGTGCCAAGGCCTTCAAGGAAGAGAGTGAGAACATCCAAATAGGCCAAGGTTGGTCAGTTAAAACCAACGATCTTGAAATCGACACTTTCGCAGAGCAGATTGCTGAATTTCTCTTAGGATAAGTTGTTAAGTGCATAGTGCCGAAAGTGTATGGATACAAAGCAACGATTTTTCGCTCTACAGAGGATCAAGTTAATTCGGGTCCCAAGATCATCATAGAGTTACAGGTTAATAACAATAATCTTGATAATAAAACAGGATGGTGACATATTTATATGTCAAGTTGATCTCGACTGGTTGAAAATTTCATGTTCAGCTAGTTGTTTCTGCCGGAAGAAGAGTCCTTGACGGTGTCCTTTTGCATGGCAGCCGCACTACGCGTGTCTTTTTCGGCACGGATCCCGGCCTCGGAGTGGGTAGCCAACTGCAATTTATTGAGGGATGTAAGCCAGCAATCAGTCTCCGTTACTCCTCTCGCTCTGGAACAAGCTCGAATGTTGATCATATGTAAATATGTAGGTACCTTTTCGTTCCAATCCTTGTTCCCGCTCTTCATGTGTTTATCGCGTTCCGATTTGAGCTCTGTCCAAGATGCAAAAAACAAATGAGCCATCTTGATAACTTTCATTCAAGGTCTAGTTTTTTTTTTTTTTGAGTCATGGAAATGGGTTTGACTTGCCTTCGCCATCGGCAGCCATGTGTTGACCCGTAGGAAGATAGACTATTTGTCCATGATGGAACGTTCGACGAGCCGGAGCAGTCATTAATGAAGCAGGTCGATGAAGGCCGGCGACTCTTCTAATGACCAAGGTTTGAGGGAACATGACGAGCAAAGTGTTTTTTGTTTTTTGTTTTTTTGTTTTTGTTTTTGGATTGGGATGCAGGTGTGGATGTCTAATTGGATTTTGGTGGGGATCAGATTGGAGGGAGGGAGGGAGGGAGGACTGTGAGACGATATAAGAGGAGTCTGGTCAACAGAGTGTCCACGGTGTTCCGTCGATCAGCTCACAATAATCAGAGCCAGTGAGCCAATAAGAATAATGAATCATGACATCATGCCGATCATCACCAGTGACGTCATCCCGTGCTGACTCAGACTTTTGAAGTCTCTCCCATCTGGGTTTCAAGCAACCCGGTTCCCGTTCGATTTCAGTTGATTCTTGACTGCTGGCGTCCAGTTGTGCGATCGAAACTCGCCGCAAATCATTTAACGGTCAATCCATCTCCAACTTGCTCCGATTCGACCGATGAGTTCAAGTAAGCAACTGGCTGACGGGTCTGATATATTAGTATTTAATTGTTGAAATGAATAATTAATAAACATTGATGGGATCGGGCGGACTGAAAGCTGTCCAGCTGACATTGTAGCACGTGGGTAGACGTGGGTCTTAGCTTGGCTGATCCCAGTTGAGGACGAGTTAGAATAGCACTATGTTTATTCCCACTCGGGTGTGACTTGATGATTGTCTCAGATAAGGGGGGTGTATCGGGAGGCCAGACACTGATGGGCAGCTGTTGCGGCATTCGCCCAGAGAGCAGCACAGAACCCCGAGAAGAAACCAGCAGAACTCAGAGTGTGCCTCAGCCACGACTTTGGATCGACTGGGTAGTTAGGTCTTCAGAGACATTCAACCGGAAAGACATACATGGTACATAGATTGGCAGGATATGTATTTTTTATTTTATTTTATATTTTAGAAAGAAAAATTGCAAATTGATAAGAGCGCGCTACACCAATGGAAACAAGCCAACAGACGGATCCTTATGGATCCATCATCCATCATTTTTCTGATCAATCTGTGTCGAAATGGCCAATCAGCTCGTCTTTTTGTTCCCACCCGGTCCATCGACACGTTTGCCCAAGGCCTATGTGGATGGAAGAAGAAACAAGGGAAATTCTGTTAGGGCTTTGTTTTATTTATTTCTTGGGTGAGAAGGAAGTATGAGGTGATGTCAAGTGAGGGATGACGCACGTCCAGTTCTCCCTGCAAGTCTTTGATCTGTTGCTTGTACTTTTTCTCTACTTCCTCCGAGAATCCCTTTTCGCGTGATTGTCCAGCGGCCTGTTCAGCCATCCAGATTCAGAGCACCCCACCCCAGTCATCGATCATCGATCAGAAAGCCAAGTCGGATGTGGATGAGTAAAGAGGATGACTTACCTGCTTCTTGAGCGTGGCGAGGTCTTCTTGGGCTTTGATGAGGTCAAGGATTAGGGCGAAGGTACGGGAGAGGATCAGGGATAGGAATAGGGTAAAGCCTCTCATGTACATGTCCCTCTCGCTAGATAAGTACAGAAATTACTACATCTTCGTCAATCGCTCGTCGGATCATCGATTTAGACATCTGTATTTAGAGATTGTTTACCTTAGAAATTTACGGCTCCTCCAATCCGTCTCGCTTCGCAGATCTCGTCCAACACCAGCTCCCTGCTCTTTAGCCGCCTCACCCTCGTGATGGATCTTCATCATCCTCTGGACCGAATCAACAAACAATACCTAACAGAATCATCACAAACGAAAAAAAAAAAAAAAGACAGAGTAAGGAAATGGTTCACTCTGGCGATTCTTCATTAGGAGAACTATCTATACTTACGGTGACGAAGATGAAAAGGATTTTGAGGGCATATTGGAGCTTGGCGACCAGTGGAGAAGTGGCGAGAAATCGGAAGAGTACTCGGCGCCAGGTGAAAGGTAGGGGCATCTGATGGATCGATAAACCGACACAGATCGGAAGATTGATCAATATATATCTCTCTTGGCTTGAAATCAGGTAGGAATACTAACGACGAGGACGATAAAGGTGACGATCTCGATGATCAGGAGTGAGAAGACCATCCAATTGTAGAGCTACAACACAAACGTTCATCAATACATATCAAGCCCGTGTCCATAATTGTTAGCTTCCATGTGCTTACCGCCATCGTTGGTTGAGTTCCTTTGGATCTGGAGGCTGGAGTGTCGATGTCTTGTGTCTCTGGGTTGTTTGTCAAGTTCGAGGTTGGATTCTCCTCCTGGTCTTGTTGTGTGGTGGCAGTGTGCCAGACTCAAGTGTGCATACCACCACTACCGGTGAACCTCCGATGGCCAGTTCGTGTGACATGTCCTCTCACCCCGCCCCTATTTAGGCTACCCGCTGATAAACTATCGGGTGTCCCCCGTGGAGGCTGCTTCCTCAATCGATCCCATCCCAGTAGTAAATTTGACGGTCACCTGGAAATAACAAGTCACGATCACCGGGAAATAACAAGCCAAACCATGAGCACTTCGACCAACGACCCAGCCGATCTACTCACAGTCATCGTAAGCTACTCCCATTCACAGAGAAGCCCCATCAGACCCAGAGCCTAGCTGACTTCATGATGTGAACCCTCCTCTCAGCTCGACTTGAACCCTCTAGCATGGGCAGATCTAGAATCTGGGGAGAGCCAAGAGGAGACTACCAGTCTGGTCTCAGTCATCGAAAGCTTCCTGATCTTTGCAAACTCTCATCTGGCCTTAAGACACGAGAACGCGATCGCAGTCTATGGGGCAAGCCTTGGCTCAAGGTAGAGAAGCAGTCCACTCAAATTCAACACGAAATTATCACTCGTTCTGATTTCCCTTGCACACTCTTTGCAGTGAACTATTATATTCATCCCTACAAGCCAAACCGATCACCACCAAATCATCTCAACCCTCAGGCTCACGCGATGCAAATACCTATCAGAGCTTTCGGATCCTCAATGACTCGATCGCCAGCGGGGTCAAGCAGCTGGCCACCTTGACTCAATCCAGTTCGATGACCGGAAGTAAGTGTATTCTCATCTCAACAGAATGATCAATCAAGCTCACATACAATAATGCTTCCAGAACAACCGGGAATAGTCAAGGCGCTTGCCAAAGCACTCTGTCGTGAGCAACTCAGCATATCTCTGATCTCTATCAACACTCGGGCAATAATCAAGCTCAATACTGATCTGGAGATCGAGCTGGTTCTGATCAGGATCTAGATATCAATCGACTGGCTCGTGAGAACGAGAATAAGAAGGAATCTCTCAAGGCTAGGATCTTAATCCTTAGCGTCTCCTCTGACGCTCCCGGCCAATACATCCCCATGATGAACTGCATCTTCTCTGCTCAAAAGTCGGTCCGTCAAATTTAATAATACTCTATGAATTCTTAACCCACCCTCTCTCTAAGTGAAATTATATCTAACTCAATCTCTGTCTTGTGTCATTCTTTAGACAATTCCTATCGACGTGTGTAAGATCTCAAAAGAAAACGCAGTTTTCTTGCAACAAGCTGCTCATCTAACCGAAGGAATTTATTACCAAATCGAGAAACCTAAAGCGATACTCCAATACTTAACAGTCCGTTGTTCTCTTTTTTTAAACAAAATGGTCTTCATAACTGAGGTTAAATTTCACTCACTCCTACATGCTCCTCTTTACCTATGCTTATGCTATGTAGATGATCTTCTTGCCTGGCTTGGCTGCTCGAAAATTCCTTAACTTACCTAAACATCAGGAGGTCGATTTTAGAGCTGCTTGCTTCTGTCATCGAGAGATTATCGACGTCGGTTACGTATGCTCAGTATGCCTTTCTAGTCAGTCTACGCGTGCTCTCTCTCTCTCTCACCTAACATGTCTTAAAAAACCAACAACGAGATTAAACAAATTGATGATTCGATTGTTACTTGTTGTTTATTAGTTTTTTGTACACCGACTCCGGTTTGCTCAACCTGTCGTACAAAGTTCCCTATGTCAACTCTAAAACGCTTCTTGATGGAGAAACCGAAAACTAGAACGAAATCTGCTAATGGATCCATCGTTTCATCTCCTCTCAGATCATCATAGTTGCATCATTCCCATTATTAATTCTTCAAGGTCAAGCAATCTAATCGAATAATCCAACTGATTGAATTGAGACCAACTTCATGACTGACTCGTTCGTGCTGGCATATATTTGGAGGTTCCTAACACAGCCCACCTGGCATTGAACGTCTGAAAGGAGTCGAAAACACTCCTTGGGACTTCTTGTCTTCTTTTCATGGCTTCTCACTTTTCGAAGTGTGGATCAATTGAGATGCCGGATTGGTTGGCTCCCAAGAATCCTTGTTTAAATTTATGAATAAAAAAATATAAAATATTGTTCAAGTTTTTTTATGTTATTACATAATACATCTCATTTCGAGTGAGCATCGATTTGAGAATTTTTAGACTGGCAAGTAACTGGAGGCTCCTCTCATCCCTATACTTCCCATGAATCTCAGGGTCGTCAGGCCGCCGGGCTAAGTCCAAACCAGCCACCGGAGGCAATAAGGGCTTTTCAGTAGATGTAGTATTATAAAATTGGTGGAAATGGAGACTGATAGCGGCGGGACGTACGAAATACGCTACAAAGTAGACGATTAGTACGACCACTTGAATTAGTCCAGATATCAACGTTCCTAGGTACGAATGGAGCTGGAATTTTCATGCGCCATTAGAAGTAGAAGAAAATTAAGTTGAAGATAAGCCTGCGGGGTGAGACATTTTCCAGAAAAGCGGAGGAATGAGAAAAAAGGACGGACCCCGATTGCAAAATATAGAGTGCCGCATAAGCTGATCAGATAGGAAACCGTGAAGGGTAGTCGATCTCTGGAGAAGATGTGTTTGAGATGTTGGAGGGGGCCTTGGAGGACCATGAAGCCGGTCATGAAGAGGATCGAGCCGAGGGAGAATGAGACGGCGAATTTCCGGGGCTTGATCTAGCTCCATCATCAGTGATCGAATTCGGAAGCGTGTTTGGCCGAAAAGAAAAGAGAGAGTACATAGATCGATAAGCGTCAGTTCCAAATCGCATTTCTCTTTTTTTTTTTATGCAGGTTTGTTGGAGGGGATGGTTTTGTGGATTGGGGTGGGACTCAAAACGGCTAGTAATGGTAAGGTGAAAAACGAGATTATAAAACAGATCATCGCCCCCGTCGTGCACATCAAAAACCCGATCGTTCGTTCCCATCTCGAAAGAGCATAATAGCTTTTGAGATTATTATTAAGAATGAAGAAAGCGATGATCAGCTTTGGATATGGATCTTATGAAACTTTGAAACCAGTGGATCGTTCTTTTGGTCACTGACGCTTCTTCTTCATTGCTTCGTTCGTTGCTTCTTAGTGGCACGTATCCGGAGATCGAGCTGGTGAATCTCGAGAACGGGTTGGATGAGGAAGCTGTCGGAGGTTGCAGATTTGAGGACTCGTCTGTGACCTGTTTTTACGTCAGGAGGGATATGTGTTACTTATTGCACAATCTTGTTTGCGAGAGTTTTTCGAGGAATAAAGAGCAGAAGGGAATCTTCCTTACACCTCGTGCCCACTTGAATCCGCTCATGTTCGCTCGGAAGGCGCTCTCGCTCGTCGGCTTGGTTGTATTCTGTCCGGCTGGCGCCATCGCTTGTGCGTCTCCGGACCCTGTTCAGAAGAGTGTGATAATGTGTGAGGAGAATTCGAAGGCTCGAGTGTCCGATCGTCTCGTCGCCGATCCTGCCTCGTTCTTGTTTATGTACTTGTTTGTCTGTTTGTGGTCGGCTGTCTTTTTTTGTTGTTGTTGTTGTTCCAGGAGGGTTTTTTTTTTTTTTTTTTTTTTTTTTTTTTTTAAAGTGTTATTGATTTCACATGTCACACTATATAAATCTAATGAAACCTAATACAAGTCTATTCAATCCAACACCATCTGCTATAGTTATCTAATAGAAATTCACCCCATAGGTCTAAAAAGTATTTTCAGCGATCAACTGTGAGAGAGCAAGTGTTCTTGTAAAGTTGGATGGGAGAGAGAAGAAAAGAAGAAAAGAAAATGGAAAAATTCGTAGGAATCTAAAATGTGAAATAAATAATTAACGGGCAGAATCAAGCAACTTTTGTGTGTTTATCAACTTCGGACTTTTTAATGGGGCATGAAATACTAAAGGGTGAGTGATTGTACTTTGTATCGGTCAAACTAGTGAAGGTTTTATTTGATTGGGCTGCTTTGATACATCGAAAACAAGCGCCACTTGGGTTGTCAATGTGGCAGTCTTTAGAGTTGTGTTTACCTCCGCATCTGGCACAAAGTGGGGGTGTCTTGCAGAAGTAAGCTGGATGTCCGAATTCTAGGCAATTGAAACATTGAGGAGGGCCGGGGGTGTATTTGGATGCCTTGAGCGGAATACCGTCGATGATTAAACAACCATGTTCGATGTCTCTGGCAAGTTGTTTGTCCTTTACATTTATTAACAGTGTGCCGTGTTTCTTGCCGTTCTTTTGAGGTTGACCTAGCCATCTAGTTTTTTCTATCATGTCGCATGGGATATCGTTCTGAGTGCAGAGCGTTGCTAAGTGATTGTTGTTCTCGGTATCGAACTCTGTTGGGACAGAATGAATCATCACGGTAAAAGTAGCCCTTGGTGTTGTGAAATTTGGATCCGCTAGATGCGTCCAGGTGTGCTTGTGTTCTAATAGCCATCTCGCAATTGTTCGGTTCTTTGTAATAAACTTAACGTCACCCGAGGGAAATCGTGTAACGGCTTGGACTTGGACTGGAGTATTATCAATTCTGGCATCGATAGAACTAAGGGCTTGGTTGACATTGGTAACAATTTGCATCGGAGATAAGTTCAAAAAAGGTTTGACTGCTCCCGGCCGAGTTCGAATGATTGTGTGGCCTTTCTTAAAGCGGTTAATGTAGCTGTTTGGAGGAATTGTGGGGAGTGGGTGCGACATGGTGGCGTTTGATCTTGTTATTGAGGGCACCTGATCAGATGTTTGCTTCAAAGACGATGTGGCTGCATACGCGTACGACTTCTTCCCTTGTTTCTGAGGTGAAATTTGAGTCTCAGTTTGTATCTCTAGGTGGTGCACTGAATCGGAATCTAGAGTTCTTTCCAGTCGTTCTAATCGTTCGGCTAGATCGTCTAGTCGTGAAAACAATAATTCCATCGAGTTTTGCGGTGCTTCTGTTGTCGGGCTGATGTTGTTGCTGATAGCTTCAATTTTTTCTAGTCTGGTTAGGAGTGTCTGCAAGGTGTTGAATAGCGTTTCGGGAGTGGGTGAAGGGCTGGTTTTGGGACCTCCAGTGGCCGATTTATTGTTCTTCGCCATATCCTATTAGTAATTGCGTCCAAAAAGAGACCAGTTAAAAGGTGGATTCCGATTGATTGGAGAATTGAGCCAGGGCGGAGCTCATAAGGGAAGCCCAATGGACTGGAGAGATAAGAAGTCAATCGAATGTGTTCTTTGTAAGTGTTCCTTAAGGGTGGTGAGATTGTGGTTAAGTGTAGAAGCCCCCGGAGGTTTGTTGAGTCGCGCTGGCACTCAGGAGCGACGGGATTGGTAACGATACCATGTCCCGGTCTCCGTCGTCCGGCTTACATACTCCACACCACCCCAATTACTGGGCCGGTCTTGTCCTCCCGGGGTCTTCCCCCTGGGGAAGGAAGACACTCCGGTTGTTTTTTGGGATCTGGTCCCTCCCACTCCCAGGGTCCCTCTGAGGCTGATCTACACTCCTTTTCCCCTTCTCAGAGCAGAAGTTCCGATCTTGTCCCCATCCTTTCACAACGAGGAGTCCAGCAAGCAGCTGTTCTACTTTGTTCAAGTAGACTTTAAACTCCTGGGAACTACTCCTGCACACTCCGGTTAAACAAAGGACCCAATTCAATTAATCCAACTCCCTTCAACCCCTAATTACATTATTTTCTCTTCTTTGACTGAAAAGTTCTGAAAAATTCAGAAATTCAGATTCAAGGGCTATAAAAATTGTTGGAGAACAGATGTTTTTTTTTTTAAAAAAAAAGATTGATTAAACTTGCCTACATCAAAGGATTTCAAACCTTCCTCTATTTAAAACTATCTGGCTGATTGATGTTTGTGTTTGGTAGGCATTGCAGACTTAACAAGAGAGATCAAGATTTCTAGCAATCTGAATTCTTGAAGTTATAGAGGAATCAATCTCTGGATGGAAGTTTTGAGTTTTTGAATGGGTAATCATATTATATTCTGTATTAAAAATCTTGAGAATCAGGTGGAATCACAAGAAAACATCTGATCTCATCCCTCTTTTTGTTGGTGGGGGGGGGGATTATGCTTCAAACAAAAGTAGGAAAATTTGTGGAACCAATTGGAACAGCTTATTTAGGCAATGCTGTAAAGTTCTCCACAAATGGGGAAATTCCAGATAACTTGATGAACTCCTTCAATTTGAGGAGGACCTGTCTGTGGCAGGATGATAAGGACAATCCCGATAAATATATGCCACACCCCCTTGTATATGCTGAATAATAACCTGATTACACAGGATTCCCAAAACACATACACCACAACTGATATGTCTGGTTATATGCCTACTTGACTGAATGATACCAGTCGCAGATACTTAAATTTTTATAATTTCTTGACTGGTCTAACTTGAACTCAAGGAGATTGCTTACACTAGTTTGGACACCTTGGATATCAGGTTCAGTTTGATAGTTTGATACCAGATTTGGATCAACACTGCTACAAACTGGGCATCTAGTGTTTCTCTCCCCTCTCCCTCTGCGCCACCGATCTATACAAGAGAAATGATATAAATGCCGACAGGTTGGCCATTGAACTGGATTTGCACCCAATTTCTCCAAGCAAATGGAACATGTTGTTTGCTTCCAGATTGACCAAGTACCCATTTTTGAATTGAGAAATCAGCTGTTTGACTTTCTTGTATGACATCAAACAGAAAGAAAATGACTCACATCATCTGCCATACGCTTTGTATGTTGATGACCAGATTTCATTAGAGCATTTGCACCCACAGAAACTTTCAAGTTCAAAGCAGACCACAAATGTTTGAGTTGTTCTTGTCATGGATGGAAATGCCAGATATCAATTTACCTATTTGATTGGACACATCAATAATATTGGTGTGGGAAAAGCTACTTGAGGAAGCTGGAAGTCCATGAAATAGATGATTAGTATGATTTATGTAGCAGATCAATGTATAAATTAAACAGAGTCAGAGGAATATCCAACCATAGTGGCCACAAAGATTAAAAGGAGCAGCATTTCTTCAAGAAAATATCAATATATGTTACAGTAGCACTTGCTTGGAAATATCTCAGGGGGTTGTACTTGCAGGCTGGGGAGCCAATGTCAACTTATACCTTTGAGAAGGTGGAGATATGTACAGTGGTATTGTGAGCAGCATCTGTCAGTTTGGCCTCCTCACCCCAAAAAGCTCCAACTTTGAGCTGTACCAGGAGATGTAATGATTAAACTCAACATACATCATGTGAATTACCAGAGTCCACCAAGTTAACTTACTAGAATCTGAAAAACATATAAATGTGTTACATGCCTGTAACAATCCCCAAAAATAGTTTTCAATGTGGTCAAGACATTAATTCAAATTGCACTACATATTTTTAAGTTATAATACCTGTGTATGTTCCAATGATGCACATGATAGGATTTAAGTGCAATAATTGCACACTCTGTTACTGCTCAAATCTGAAGTTTTTTTGGCAACCACTGTAGCCAATCATTGAAGATTTTCAGTCTTTCCAACAGGCAAAGTTTTGGAATGCATTTCTTGTGATGTTTCATGTTTCAGTAGGTATTCACAGTGAACAGGTGTATGAGAAAAACATGTCAGATTTGAATTGGCAAAATGTTTCACAAAAATATGAATATCTGATTACCAGCAGTGACAAAGTTGATTGCAGTGCCATGAGATTAGATTTGAGTCTGATAAGAGTAAGGATGGGTCTGGGCCAGGTGGGAAGATACAAACACACCTTGATGCAAAAATTGATAGCAGGATTCACAATAGCTTCTTTCAAGAAGCTTTCTTAGTGTCTGTAAGAAGCTGCAGCACTGCTTCAGGCTTGAGATTTTGTGCAAAATCTCAAATTTTTATGTAAGCAACAGGCAATCAAGAAAAATAATTATTCAGTGCAAGAAGCCAAAACAGCAATTGCCCCAGCCTCAGCCCCCAACGCAGGCAATTTGACTTTTGGGCTGGGAAGGTCTCATTGATGGGTAGGGGCATGCTACAGGCATGCACCACATAGTTTATTGTTCCAAATTTGATGTAGAATCTTTTGATGCATATTAAATTTTTGTAGCAGAGCTTGCAGGTCAAAGTATGTACTTTTTTGCAGGAGAGCTGTAGTCAAGAGGTGGGGGGCACCGTATAAGCTGATTCTTTGGGGGGGTTAGGATCATTATTCAATTTCCAGGGGCATCTGAGGGGGTTTTATGGTTGGAAATAGAGATCAAGGTGACTTTGTCACTGCAAGTTTGTAACTACACCCCCACACTGTCACATAGTTTTCTATATTTATTTGAAATTAAAGCTCAACACTTCAAGTTTTCATTTTCTGCCAGATATCTTGAATATTAGTCCTGAAAATTTAAGTATAAATTTAGAGACAAAAAACTTTTCTTGGGATTACCAAAGAATTTCTTAGTGAAAGTGGATAGCTGGGCATTATGTGGGTAATGCCTATCATAAGGTGTTTAGACTAGATTCTGGATGTGTCTGTAATAGTTTTCAAGATACCAATGAGGAATGATGGAATTTCTCCTCTCTTGTTCAAGACACAGTCCAGGTGATCTCACAGCTTATTGATATTGATTCCATTGAAATATGGCTCTTAATCTCTTCAATTGTTGATCATGGTTTTTATCATCTATGAAATCATTGTCTGAAAAAGTTGAACAAAATTATGACCTTTTTAAATTTGAGCTTTTGAGCTTGTCAAACTTGATTTTGAATAGATCACAATTAATTTATGTTCCTCATGTTGAGTGCCATGTTCAAAAAAGTAAGCAGGATTAGTCTTGAGTCAAACAAAGTTTCTTGTGGAACTAATTTGTTTGTATACTCGATATGACCAATATGACCAGTTTGAGCATGAATTTAAAGCTAACAAGGGAAAGCTCCAGCCTCAGATTCACAAAGTCACAAAATTTAGTATGGTTTTTGTTGCTTGCTCATTGCTGAAAGCCTGTCAAACACTTGACAATGTTGCATTTCTTGCAAAATGATATATGAAGTTGACACCATCAGCAATAGCAAATCAAAGCACAGCAGAATGCTTCTATAGACTATCACTGAAGATATTTTCAATTTCTGATGCATGAATAGTGTTGAATTTTTGAGCTCCGAAATCGGATGAAGTTGAAGAATTTTTTGAGAAAAGGGCACAAAAAAGGTAAGGGCCTTTTTTGGGAGAGGTTCACGGAAAAATGAGTGAAAGAACCAATAAGTTTTATTCACAAGTATCTAGCCAGACTTAAATAGACTAAATACATGTGCACAAAATGTGGTTGAATGAAAATGAATAAAAGAGTATTTTGAATAAAAACTGAGAGGAAGGAATGAATGAGTTCATGGAAGAAACAGCCGGACAATTCTTCTCAGTCTCTTTTAGAAAAGCTAGCAAATTAATCATGAAAAAACAAACACACAACCACAAATGAATAAGAGGCGTTAATTCTTAACAATCAGTTTTAAGGAATCAAATAATGACCAGAAAAAGAAAGAAATCAACAATAAGACATGAGTTGCTAGAAGAAAATTGTCTTGATGAGTTCTAATTAGACTACACAAGAACAGAAGATTCAACGCAGAAAACAGCTATGGTTGAGTATAATTCAGTCTGAGACAGGATGATTCAAGAAAGAAAAAAAGAAGAAAAAGTAAGGGAAAAGAGGGAGTTTTTTGGGAAGGAGTAGACCAGAGGAGTGAAAAACTCAACAAATAGACAGTCAATAAACAAAAGTTGACTGGTGAAAAAATGTAAACAAGTGAAAGATTAAGAGTTATTGACAAGTGAAATTCCAACATGCCAGAGACTCAGGAAGTTATGGACAATAACTACCTGTCATTTGAAAAGCCCATATGGAAAGAATTGAATCTCTAGACACATGACATTGGTGTGCATTGCAAAGACACAATGTTTCCCAGGGAATTGGAATATTGAATCAGGATGGGATAGAATGGATATTGAGCTAACATGAAGTCTTTTTTTCTTTTTTCTTTTTTTTATATTCTTTTTCTTCATTTTTTTTGTAGTGGCCTTGAAATTGGGTTGCTTCCTGCTTCATGAAACACTTCATAC